ATGCAGATGAAAGTATCATGTATGCAGATGAAAGTATCATGTATGTAGATGAAAATATCATGTATGTAGATGAAAGTACCATGTATGTAGATGAAAGTGTCATGTATGTGGATGAAAATATCATGTATGTAGATGAAAGTACCATGTATGTAGAAGAAAGTGTCATGTATGTGGATGAAAGTATCATGTATCTAGATGAAAGTATCATGTATGTAGATGGAAGTATCATGTATGTGGATGAAAGTATCATGTATGTAGATGAAAGTATCATGTATGAAGATGAAAGTACCATGTATGTAGATGAAAGTATCATGTATGTAGATGAAATTATCATGTCTGTAGATGAAAGTACCATGTATGTGGATGAAAGTACCATGTATGTAGATGAAAGTATCATGTATGTAGATGAAAGTACCATGTATGTGGATGAAAGTACCATGTATGTAGATGAAAGTATCATGTATGTAGATGAAAGTATCATGTATGTAGATGAAAGTACCATGTATGTAGATGAAAGTACCATGTATGCAGATGAAAGTATCATTTATGTAGATAAAAGTATCATGTATGCAGATGAAAGTATCATGTATGTAGATGGAAGTATCATGTATGCAGATGAAAGTATCATTTATGTAGTTGAAAGTATCATGTACATGTATGCAGATGGAAGTATCATGTATGTAGATGAAAGTACCATGTATGTAGTTGAAAGTGTCATGTATGTGGATGAAAGTATCATGTATGTAGATGAAAGTATCATGTATGTAGATGAAAGTACCATGTATGTGGATGAAAGTATCATGTATGTAGATGAAAGTATCATGTATGTAGATGAAAGTATCATGTATGTAGATGAAAGTATCATGTATGTAGATGAAAGCCTCTTGTCTGTAGATGAAAGTACCATATCTGTAGATGAAAGTATGACATTATATTTTGCATTGTGGCACTAATACGCTTCCGTGTGGAACACATTGACATGTCCAAAGTCCAGTACCATCTGTTTAGCTTCTTGACTGATATCGTCAACTAATGGAATAATGATGCATTTATGAATCCAGATGTTTTAACAGAATGATGGCAAACACGTCTGTGATTAAACATGATGATCCATCCATGTTTGTTTTGTTTGTTTGTTGTTCGCCGTAGTCAGCTGTGTTCCTGCCACCTTATGGAAACCTTTACAGTATCCAATCTTTACAAGGTACACCAGTTGTTAATATGAGCAATATTACATGGAATCAATCAAGTCACTGAGTCTGACCATCCAATCCAATTAGTTATCCTCTCTCGACCAGCAACGACACATATTTAAACCGGCGTGCTGGTGCTTGATATGAACGTGTTGATGTAGTTGATAGTTTCTTTTGTTTGTTATTTGACACCGCACTCAGCAATATTCCAGCTATATGACGGCGGTCTGTAAATAATCGAGTCTCAACCTGACAATCTAGTGATTGACATCATGAGCATCGATCTACGCAATTGGGATACGATGACATGCATCAACCAAATCAGCGAGTCCGATCACCCGATCCCGTTGGTCGCCTATATAGTACTCGTACACATGGCGATAGACATGCAATATGAGAGCAGGCCTTGTTGAGAATTTCGTTCATAGGGCGTCGGTAGGGCTTTCAAACAGTTTAATGGTAGACATTTGGGGGATATTTCCAAATTTGACGCACATTGACAAAACTGATGTCCGATGCAGTTCCCTATTTTGACTTGATATGTTCCCGTGTTTTTCCAGGTAAGCAATTGACTTGCCTTTGCATGAGTTTGTGACGGTTGCCTGACACCTGATATCATTACTATTTGATAAAGCTTCCATAAACACACGCTTGTGATACTGTCGGAATCCTACAAACGATTCTTGTGAAATTTCTTTTGAATATGGTAAGGGTTTTGTCGCCTTCATTTTATTTATATTAAATGGTGTAGATGTAAATAATACGTTATTGATAACAAATCGCCTATATTTACATAAAAATGTCTGTGGGTATACCCTCCTGTTTCCAAGGAGTAACGGCGCCGCGAATCGCTGTGCAGAGTTGCGTCTCTTGGACACGCCAGAAACCTATGATTGGGGTTCGAATCCCGGCTCGCCCCGATTATGTTTCTAGATGTGTCAGCACCATACCCGTACTCGTGGGTTTCACCGAAGTTGTGACCCGTGAAGATTCCGGGTTAGAATAGGTCTTCAGCAACCCATGCTTGCCGTAAAAGGCGACTATGCTTGTCGTAAAAGGCGACTAACGGGATGGGTTGGTCAGGCTCGCTGACTTGGTTGATGCACGTCATCGATTCCAATTGCGTGGATCGATGCTCATGATATTAATCCCTGGATTGTCCGGTCCAGACTCGATTATTTACAGACCGCCGTCATATAACTGGAATATTGCGGCGTTAAACAACAAACCAACCAACCAATCACCGAGGTGGTAAACGTCTGAGACTTGCACCACTTCGGGCTTTCCTCCTATATTAAGCTGAAACACCGTGATATGACTGGAATAATGTTAAAAGCGGCGTTAAACCCAACTCACTCACTCACTCCAAGGAGTAACATGAACCATAAGTGCATGTGTCTAGAATATGTTCTACGTATGGGATGACATTTGCATCCTACACATGTAATTGTATTGAACTGAATGACAACTGAGACTACATGACCCCAAATATTGACAATACTGGCATGCATCGAAGTGTCAAAACATAGGCATTGGACTTCACAGTTTAATGAATGTGTGTATCTGAATTGATTTCCTATATACAGTGCGACTCTGATAAACTACATAAAAACTGACCCTTGACACCTTGACCCCTAAATTAAATTTGATGATTGGCAACATTGCCCATTTCCACAACATGCATACTAATTATTGGATTCAATTATAACAATATGCAATAATATGAATTTATTGACCTCATGTGATTGCTTAATTCGGTACGGTACTCGTATCGATTTCGATGAGAAAAGAGTGCTATGCTTGCTTGCCATAAAAGTAGAGAATTTCTCTGATTGATTTTCGACATAATTTTACATTATGTATGTTATCAACAGAGTACACGGTGTATCTCAGCCATTAAATGCTACTGGATTAAACAAGACTTTTTTCTTCGTGCAGTGTTCACATATTGGCATTTAAGGAAATGTTACTGTTGATAAAATCAAACACGAAAATGCTCTCAACTTATTTACATTAGCAATTAAAGTAAGAAAAGCAATAGTACTTTTAGTTACTTAATGGATCGATGTTATTGAATTTTGATATTTCACATTCGTTCTGTCTGTGTAGTTCCATGTCCATTATAACATATGCATAGTTTGTGTGGCATTTCTACCTCTGAAGGATGAAAGAAGAGAACAGAATACTTGTCATTAACATAAGGTAAGCCAGGTGTGTTGTGTAGATTCACGTGTAGCTTTCTGACTTCGAACAAGGATAACTATACAATGTATGAGTCATTTAAATTGACCTGAGGTGCGTCAACAGTTTTGAAAAAATGTGTTGGTGTTAGTTGCGATGTTAGAATATGTCCCCACATGTTCATGCGCTGACAGTCACAGACGAGATGCGTGTACCTACATTGTATATTAAACATTCAGATGCTAAGGAACACCCTTGATTCGTGTGGAAACTGGACTTTTATATTCGGTTACCTAACTTGCCTCGGGAAGATGTTTGTTTGTTTGTTGTTTAACTCCGCACTCAGCAGTATTCCAGCTTTATGACGGCGGTCTGTAAATAATCGAGTCTGGACCAGACAATTCAGTGATTGACATCACGAGCATCGATCCACGCAATTGGGATACGATGACGTGCATCAGCGAGCCTGATTTAATGAACGATGCGTGGTTATTTCACGATAAAACATTGATCTATCATGACGTCTTCCCCCGAGATTCGAACATGCCCCCGCAACTGGATGAGGTCATAATGTTTTTAGGGAAGAGTCTAGTGAGTTGTTCCCCATAGCTGGGCAACGTAGATAAATGCAATGGCCGAACGATCGCATTCGCTATTGAGAGAAAAGGTAAAGGTTATCGACGCGAATATCCCGGAAATACCAGACCTAAATCCCCTCCCCATAACATATAGCACGCACGAATACGGTGTTAGCATTAGATTTCATGATATCTCAGTGCAAGCATCTTTCCGCTGATGCGAAAGGTTTCGTTGTTAAAATATTTGAATACCCTAAGGCTGAAAGTGAAAGACGTTCGCCCTTCTTTGACATTTCAAAGTACATGTAAAGAACAATTCATGTGTTACAGCTTCCCAAACAAACCGTAGTTAAGATTTTGAACTCTCGTGCGTGCGTGATTCCCGTGCAACCTTTCGAGTTGAGTTGATTGGTTCAACTGTGTCATATGGCCCTGTGACGCAGGGGTAGCATTATGCAGATGGATGTTACAATGAATGCTCGTTCCACCCGTGACGAACAGGTCTGGTTGTTGATGAAATATAGTGATAGCTAAATAGACAGATTTTTTATTCATGCACCGATTGTCTTTAAATGTAATATCCAGTTATGTATGACTGTTTAATAATCTCATACCAACTTTGACTGGAGTAGGTCCAAAAGTTTTTCAGATATTGTAGTAAACGTCGGTACCTTAAATTAACTTCCAGACTTTATAGATTTGGCCGACAATGCCGACGTCGAATTGTATTCATGGAGTCATCATAATGCGCCCCTCGAGATTTATTCTCACTGCAGTATTTTATTGAACGATAAATATCTCCCACTCGTCGTTTATTTCTTAATTAAAAGTGTCAGGTCATGAGAACGTATAATGCAATAAATCAGTGGTACTTCATGGATCAGGGTACTTGTGCAGCACAGGCAATTGATTTTTCAAAATGACACAAAGTAAGTAGAACCGCGAGATTGTTTGATTACATTAGGGATTTCTCCACGAACCCGGTAGTCAATTTCCGAGATTACCGATTGAGAATTCAATGTTCACTGTTAAATTGGCATTACCCTTTGGGTCGAAATCATAGCGAAATTACTTAGCAATATGATGCTGTTCGTGGGCTTCGTGGTTGTCATGCTGAACTACATGTATAGTAAGTCAACTCTTTATTGATTTTGTATTGAGATTCGGGGTAGAATAGGTCTTCAGCAACCCAGGCTTACCGTAAAAGGTGACTATGCTTGTCGTTTGAGTCGACTAACGGGATCGGGTGGTCAGGCTCGCTGACTTGGTTGATGCATGTCATCGTATCCCAATTGCGTAGATTTATGCTTATGATGTCAATCACTGGATTGTCTGGCCCAGTCTTGATGATTATTATCGTCATACACTATCGTTATCGTTACACTATTTACGAATATGTGCAACAGTGTTTAACAGCAATGTATACGTATGTGCACATTAAAAGGTGTTTTGTTGAGGAGTGATCGAGGTTTAAGGTGAGGTACCGTTAGTTGATACAGCTCTACTGTCCTAAATATCAAACGTCAACGGCAGAGAATAACCTGTCTCGAAACAGATTCCATTGGGTGTAAAAGGCAAAATAACAGTAAATAGTATATGAGTGGATCACGGAAAATCAGTGAAGACACCAGGTGTCGGTGAAAAGAGTTCGCATGTCCTGCCCTGCCCGTAGTAGGGGTGGTCGGGTTGCCTAGTGGTTAAAGCGTTCGCTCGTCACGCCGAAGACCCGGGTTCGATTCCCGACATGGGTACAATGTGTGAAGCCCATTTCTGGTGTCCCCGTCGTGATATTGCTGGAATATTGCTAAAAGCGGCGTAAAACCGTACTCACTCACCCTGCCAGTAGTAAAGGATTAAATAACTGAAATATGCTTTCGTTGCAGTATGAGGGAGCTATTGTTGAGAGTGTAAAATATTTCATACTGTTGTCTGTTTTTTTCCGTATCTATTAACGTAATTGCTTGTTGCGTTACGTAAGGAAAAGGACCATGTAATGTATTAAAAATAAACGAATTTTAGCAGATAATTCTCTTCATTCCTCTCCTTAAAGTAATGTCGCAATTGCACATTTAATGTGTTTAATAAGATCTTCTCAACGTTCTATTGAATTTGAGATAGTAATCAAAATAGTTTAGTCCCCTGACTGAAATAACTCGCTCTGTTGTATGGGAGAAATCTTGTAAAATGTTCGATGGAACACTCCAGTTGACTGTTTTCTGTATTCATTACTCTTAGTGTTTTGCGAAAAGTGGTCCATGTGAAGAGCAATGCTCTCTTCAGAATATAACACACCAGCTGAACTTCTTTGAGAGGCATTTAGAAGTTGGAGTACTTTATATAAGTAAGATTTATGGATGAACAACTTCTTTATTACAATAAGGAGAGTCGCTTCGGTGTAGGTTGTAACAGGTTGTATCAAGCAGGTGATGTACAGAGTATGGTTGACAGGTATATATACAGGTACACACTCCTGACCACTGTTTACCGGAAACCAACCCACACAGATCAATATCTAACTATGCCTCAAACCATCCGTCCCAAGTCAAGAATGGAATTATCTCAACCCTTGCGAGACGAGCTCACAACATCTGTTCCACGAAGCAACATCTAACTACTGAACTAAGCCACCTCAAACAAGTATCCACACAGTACAAGCACTACCCTGAGCAGCTAGTACAACAGACAATACAAGTATCCACACAGTACAACCACCACCCCGAGCAGCTAGTACAACAGACAATACAAGTATCCACACAGTACAACCACCACCCCGAGCAGCTAGTACAACAGACAATACAAGTATCCACACAGTACAAGCACTACCATGAACAGCTAGTACAACAGACAATACAAGTGTTCACACAGTACAACCACCACCCTGAGCAGCTAGTACAACAGACAATACAAGTGTTCACACAGTACAAGCACCACCTCGAACAGCTAGTACAACAGACAATACAAGTGTTCACACAGTACAACCACCAGCCTGAGCAGCTAGTACAACAGACAATACAAGTGTTCACACAGTACAACCACCACCATGAACAGCTAGTACAACAGACAATACAAGTATCCACACAGTACAAGCACTACCATGAGCAGCTAGTACAACAGACAATACAAGTATCCACACAGTACCACCACTACCCTGATCAGCTAGTACAACAGACAATACAAGCGTTCACACAGTACAAGCACTACCATGAGCAACTAGTACAACAGACAATACAAGTATCCACACAGTACCACCACTACCATGAGCAGCTAGTACAACAGACAATACAAGTGTCCACACAGTACCACCACTACCCTGATCAGCTAGTACAACAGACAATAAAAGCGTTCACACAGTACAAGCACTACCATGAGCAGCTAGTACAACAGACAACACAGAACATGACCAAGAAATCTTAGAAATCTCCTCGTCAACAATCTACACCCTTTGTGATCAGCCTCCCCTACTTTGGAACAGTTAGCCACAAACTACAGAGACTCTTAAAGAAACAGGCCAACATTGATGTAATTTTCAAGAGAAGTCACACAATCCAGAACACAATTAAAGCCACAGGGAAACCACCATCCAGCCACAAGCTAGAACCATCAGGAGAAGTGTATCACATTCCATGCATTTGTGGACAAGTTTATATAGGAGAAACATCTAGGCCCCTCAAAACCCGAATAAGAAGAACACCAAAGCTCAGTCTCCAAAGATGACTCTAAATCAGCTCCATCAGACCATATCCGTGACAAGCCAAACCACAGCATCCAGTGGGATAACGTCAAAGCCCACACCACCACCTTCAAAGACTTCAAAATCAGAAAACTATAAGAAACCATCACCATCAAAAGACTCCAACCGTCAGTCAACCGTGACCAAGGCTATTACATACCCCCGGCTAACCATCAACTCGTGAAAGTCCCCAATCAGTCATAATCCTTTTGTCTATATTAGTTTGCTATCCTTTTGTTGTGTACATAACAGGCTTCTCCACTTCAATGTAACTACATCTGATATCTTATCTACGTATACACACTGCTTGCTTGATAACGGTGTTAGAACCTACACCGAAACGTCGCTCCTAATTGTAATAAAGAAGTTGTTCATCCATAAATCTTAACCTTACTTAACTAATTGCTTGCTTGCTCTATTGCTTGCTTGCTCTATTGATTGCTTGCTCTATTGATTGCTTGCTCTATTTATTGCTCTATTGATTGCTCTATTGATTGCTCCATTGATTGATTGCTCTATTGATTGCTCCATTGATTGATTGCTCTATTGATTGCTCTATTGATTGCTCTATATGTGCTCTATTGATTGCTCTATTGATGGCTCTATTGATTGATTGCTCTATTGATTGATTGCTCTATTGATTGATTGCTCTATTGATTGATTGCTCTATTGATTGGTTGCTCTTTTGATTGATTGCTCTTTTGCTCTTTTGATTGATTGATTGCTCTTTTGATTGATTGCTCTTTTGATCATTGCTCTTTTGATTGATTGCTCTTTTGATTGATTGCTCTTTTGATTGCTCTTTTGATTGCTCTTTTGATTGCTCTTCTTTTGATTGCTCTTTTGATTGCTCTTTTGATTGCTCTTTTGATTGATTGATTGATTGATTGATTGATTGATTGATTGATTGATTGATTGATTGATTGATTGATTGATTGATTGATTGATTGATCCTGGTTACTTGAGTGAGTGAGTGAGTGAGTGAGTGAGTGAGTGAGTGAGTGAGTGAGTGAGTGAGTGAGTGAGTGAGTGAGTGAGTGAGTGAGTGGTGGGTGATTGGGTGATTGGGTGATTGGGTGATTGGGTGATTGGGTGATTGATTGGTTGGTTTACTCATTGTCTGCATTGTATAATTGTTTTCCAAAACTCCTAAAACAGAATATATTAAATGCTTAGACTGCAACTATGTTACAGAAGACGAATATTTTGTCGTACTGATTGGCCCGGAATACACTAACATAAGAATGAAATATTTACCCAGCATGCCATACTGTGTCCTTTATTTGACCTTTCAACTTTAAATATATCTGAAATGTCGGCTGGACTCTGCAACCGTCTTCTCTCCTGAAACTGATGGATTGATAACATTTAGCATGCATGTCTGTTCGAGTTTAGCATAATCAGTTCCTGAATTTGAGATATTGTATATTCGATAAAGTTGGAGCAACATGAAGAATGATAATGACAATAAGCAAGTTTATGTTCGTTTATTGCCTTATGACCAGCAAGGGCGGTCGGGTAGCCTAGTGGTTAAAGCGTTCGCTCGTCACGCCGAAGACCCGGATACGATTCCCGACATGGGTACAATGTGAAGCCCATTTTCCGGTGTCCCCAACGTGATACTGCTGGAATATTGCTAAAAGCGGCGTAAAACCAAACTCACTCATAATCAGCATGTAACTTCACTTTACTGTCGTATGTTTTTTTGTCAATTCTTTAGAATGTGTTATGTGTTATGCCCCGACAAATGTGTTGACGTTGTCGCCACCGATCTGCCAACTGCCAATAGGCCATCTATTGCTAAGCTACCGCCGATGTCACTGCACACAAAACGGATACCCATTGTACTCTGATCTCACTTGTTCTGTGCCAGTTCGTTCTTTCCATTGCACATGAGACACCCAGTTCATTGACGTGCCTCTGTGCGGCAAGATACTTTGTATTACCTTTGTGTAAGTATAATGTTTCATTATATTGTTGTCATTGGAGATTCTATCGACGAAGAGCCCCCGGTGCGACTATAGGATCGGGCGGTGGTCACAGTGATGTTATTTGGTGTCATTGTAACCCAACCTAGTGTGGAAGCCCCTCTTGCTCCAAAATGGCAACCTATTGTCGGTCTGGCCAGGACTCGAGCATTCTAAGGTGCTATGCCATAGCCGGAATGTTGCTCTAATGGGTACTAAAACACACTGTTTCGAAAGAGTTTAACCTGGTATAGTCAGCTCATATTTCATGATATAGGCATTGTTAATGTACTGAATATGTGAATACACGATGCCACTGGCATGTATTGAAATTGTAAAATTCTTGACCTTAATAGATAGGGAATCTCTATTATTGTATTGGCCGTATAACCACTGTATGACATTGCATAGCACGGCCTTACACTTGTGAGAGTATTGCATGTGATATAGTTAGTCCTTGTATTCATATCTATCACATGTGTTCCTTTCTATATAACGACTGAATGAATGTAGATTTTCCACAGCAAGCTATATTATATATATATATATATATATATATCCTGTGACCGCCTCCGTGGTCTAGTGGTAGAGCGTCCGCACGGGGAGCGGTAGGTCCGGGGTTTAATCCCCCGCCGCGTCAAACCAAAAGACGTTTATAAAATGGTACTTGTTGTTACCCTGCCTGGCGCTCGAAATCAAGGTGATAAAACAAGGACGGGTCTGCTCGGAGTCAGTATACTGTGTCTGAGTGGGGTATTCATGTTGAACTGCGGCATGGTATCTCAGTGGACCAGCACAATCAAATCGGCATTAGTCCAGACTAGTACAAGCAGCCACACACACACACATGCATGCCGCATCTATGCAATAATCGTGGATGCAACCTTAAACTCCATTTCACCCCAAAACGTCTTGTACAACCCATGCCTGCCGTAAAAGGCGACAAACGGGATCGGATGGTCAGGCTCGCTGACTTGACTGATACATGTCATCGTATCCCAATTGCATGGATTGATGCTAATATAATGTCAACCACTGGATGGTCTGGCCAAGACTCGGTTATTAACAGAGCGACGTCATATAGCTGGAATATTGCTGAGTGCGGCGTTAAACAACAACAATAATCAAAACGTCACGTTTGGCCAGTCAGTGAATGTGTTATACAGGCTACACGCAAGTTAACTGATTTTCAGCCTATTCAGGGTATGTAAGCTTAGCAACCCCTATTATCTAAGTGCAATACACTTGCCATACATCTACAACACTGATGCCTGTAGGTAAATTGAAGAAGCGATAACATTGGCAGGACTGGTAGCTGAGAAATGTGTCTGTGTTGCTTCAGGAGTCAAGATATGAAGTGCGTGCTGTCGTTGTTGCTGTCGGTTTTGTACGCTGTATGCTGCCAGGTCCGGGTAACATCGGGGACAGATGTGTTCCTCGTCAAGGTGCTGTCATCGCAAAGAGTCTGTGACCATTACTGTGCCTATACATCACGGTGTCAAGCTTATCACTGGGATGCTACTACCAGGATCTGTCAACTTCATTCAACGCAGCCTACAACGAGTAACACCGGTTTCACTAATTATAAGGTAATTGTGCTGTTTTCCGCGAGAAGGGAAATGAGTGTTGATTCAAATATGATCATTTGTTGTTACGTTTTATTAATTTCAGTCACGTTTCTATGAGGGTAACGCTATTTTTTAGGGCATTATCATTTGCAGAAGGTCTTCCATTTAACTGCCCGACGAAGGAGGATCGAGGGTTTCTGCAAATGATAATGCCCTGAAAAATAGCGTTATCGTTATTATAGCTAAAATGGATAGAATTTGTTATCAAATAAAAATAAACAACAATATCGATTTTGAAAAGTTGCTGCAATCAACACGAATTTCACTGACCCACTTTTGGAATATGGAAACGTCATAGAACAAACCAGATGACGTATCTATTGAACGTGACGTCACCTTTCCCTATCCCCCTGACGTCACGGGTGTGATAATATAAGGGTAACGCTATTTTTCAGGGCATTATCATTTGTAGAAGCCCGAGGTGTTCCATTAACTGCCCGACGAAAAAGAGCGTTACCGTTATTATAGCTAAAATGGATGAAATTTGTTATCAAATAAAAAGAAACAACAACATCGGTTTTGAAACATTTACTGCAATCAACACGAATGTCACTGACCACATTTTACAAATATGGAAACGTCATAGAACAAACCAGATGACGTCACTATAATACGTGACGTCATTTTCTCTACCCTATGACGTCACCTAACAACGGGCTTGATAATTATAAATGGCCCGTCGTCAAGAAATATGAGGGCATTATCAAGTTACAGTGGCCCGCTCATTTCTGATAACGTGCGGGCGGTTTAATGATAATTCTATCCATTTTAGCTATAATGGCCAGTCGTCAAGCATTATGAGGGCATTTTCAAGTTACAGATGCCCGCTCATTTCTGATAATATTCGGACGATTTAATGATAATTCTATCCATTTTAGCTACAAAGGTGTGTATTGGCTTAAGCACCGTAATCATTGCACCCGAAACCAACTGCATGTATTCTACTAACTCAGTGAATACAACTGAGTACGATGTTACCTAGGACAATGCGAGAGTCATTTATAATAATTCGCGCTTTATTGAACATCTGAAAGAAATAGATGTCCCTGGGGCTTATTAATGATCACACGGTATATGGATTATAATTATGCAGCAAAACATAAATTGATGACAGTTATTTTCTAACCTGAATGTTTAATGATTTCATATTTGCCATTATCTCATGAATGAGTATAACACTCTGTAACACCCCCAGCAATAGCAGATGATTTCCATTACATATTTCGATGTCAAGGTTTTGATAACAAAAGACTTTCACTTATTCCTAGACGATATGGTCGAACGTGTTTTCATTAAAAAGCCCATTTTCAACAACCAAACTAAACGAGCTGAAACGTCTATCAAAATAACCGTCGGTGGTCTATGGAGAAATAAAGAATCAGACACAACACCAGTAATTATCATATTGCTCTCGTGGCGCTGAACAAATCTGAGTGCTAACTCCTGAACCATGTTTGCTACCCTCCCTGTGGTCATTGGTAATAAAATACAGGAGGGAACAGCTGGTGAATGGCGTGTTTAGACGGTAATAGCTGGTAAATGGTGTGTTTAGACCGTAATAGCTGGTGAATGGTGTGTTTAGACCGTAATAGCTGGTGAATATTGTGTTTAGACCGCAATAGCTGGAGGATGGTGTGTTTAGACCGTAATAGCTGGTGAATATTGTGTTTAGACATAATAGCTTGTGAATGGTGTGTTTAAACCGTAATAGCTGGTGAATGGTGTGTTTAGATCGTAATTGCTGATGAACGGTGTGTTTAGACCGTAATAGCTGGTGAATGGTGTGTTTAGATCGTAATAGCTGATGAAAGGTGTGTTTAGACATAATAGCTTGTGAATGGTGTGTTTAGACCGTAATAGCTGATGAAAGGTGTGTTTAGACATAATAGCTTGTGAATGGTGTGTTTAGACCGTAATAGCTGGTGAATATAGTGTTTAGACATAATAAGTGATGAAAGGTGTGTTTGTTCATAATAGCTGATGAATGGTGTGCTTAGACCATAATAGCTGGTGAATGGTGTGTTTAGACCGTAATAGCTGGTGAACGGTGTGTTTAGACGTAATAGCTGATGAATAGCGTGTTTAGATCGTAATATCTGATGAATATCGTGTTTAGACCGTAATAGCTGGTAAATGGTGTGTTTAGACCGTAATAGCTGGTGAATGGTGTGTTTAGACCGTAATAGCTGGTGAATATTGTGTTTAGACCGCAATAGCTGGAGGATGGTGTGTTTAGACCGTAATAGCTGGTGAATATTGTGTTTAGACATAATAGCTTGTGAATGGTGTGTTTAGACCGTAATAGCTGGTGAATGGTGTGTTTAGATCGTAATAGCTGATGAACGGTGTGTTTAGACCGTAATAGCTGGTGAATGGTGTGTTTAGATCGTAATAGCTGATGAAAGGTGTGTTTAGACATAATAGCTTGTGAATGGTGTGTTTAGACCGTAATAGCTGATGAAAGGTGTGTTTAGACATAATAGCTTGTGAATGGTGTGTTTAGATAGTAATAGCTGATGAAAGGTGTGTTTAGACATAATAGCTTGTGAATGGTATGTTTAGACCGTAATAGCTGATGAATGGTGTGCTTAGACCATAATAGCCGGTGAATGGTGTGTTTAGACCGTAATAGTTGGTGAACGGTGTGTTTAGACGTAATAGCTGATGAATGGCGTGTTTAGATCGTAATAGCTGATGAATATCGTGTTTAGACCGTAATAGCTGGTGAATGGTGTATTTAGACCGTAATAGCTGGTGAATGGTGTGTTTAGACCGTAATAGCTGGTGAATATTGTGTTTAGACCGCAATAGCTGGAGGATGGTGTGTTTAGACCGTAATAGCTGGTGAATATTGTGTTTAGACATAATAGCTTGTGAATGGTGTGTTGAGACCGTAATAGCTGGTGAATGGTGTGTTTAGATCGTAATAGCTGATGAACGGTGTGTTTAGACCGTAATAGCTGGTGAATGGTGTGTTTAGATAGTAATAGCTGATGAAAGGTGTGTTTAGACATAATAGCTTGTGAATGGTGTGTTTAGACCGTAATAGCTGATGAAAGGTGTGTTTAGACATAATAGCTGGTGAATGGTGTGTTTAGACCGTAATAGCTGGTGAATATAGTGTTTAGACATAATAAGTGATGAAAGGTGTGTTTGTTCATAATAGCTGATGAATGGTGTGCTTAGACCATAATAGCTGGTGAATGGTGTGTTTAGACCGTAATAGCTGGTGAACGGTGTGTTTAGACGTAATAGCTGATGAATGGCGTGTTTAGATCGTAATAGCTGATGAATATCGTGTTTAGACCGTAATAGCTGGCGAATGGTGTGTTTAGACCGTAATAGCTGGTGAATGGTGTGTTTAGACCGTAAAAGCTGATGAATGGTGTGTTTAGACCGTAATAGCCACAGCAATTCTTGGAGATAATGCATCAGTCGGTTGACGTAATACAGTTATAATATATAGTGGATTCGATTAATTTTTAATTTACTTGCAATTGACTGATGTGTGTGTGTGTGTGTGTGTGTGTGTGGGGGGGGGGGGGGGGGGGGGGGGGAGTGGGGCTTAACTGTAACTCTTTCAAAGAAAATTACTTGCAAGAACTGCACGTCCTTTTACGGGTTGAGAACCACGTGCTGACAGTTTTACGGGTTGAGAACCACGTGCTGACAGTTTTACGGGTTGAGAACCACGTGTTGACAGTTTTACGGGTTCTTAGTATGAAATTTAATGAAATCACCTAATTTGACAAAACAAAACCAACGAACACGAGTATGATGATGTCAACAATCATAATCAGGGTATATATCCTGGATTTACGGATATATCTGATGAACTCGGCTCCCACGCCATTGAAACGTCCAAGTTTGAGAATAAATTCAAATATTAAACCTTTGCATTAATTTCAAATAACACTGGCACGGAGTTCATGACATTTATTGATGTACTTTCTTACGTTTGATATTTATGACAATTAGTTGATTCAATTAAGATATAAACTTCTGGGCAAAAGTAAGTACACACTTTGAAAATTGGATTCGAACGTTATCAAAACGTTACCAGGCTGGAAACAGTTGCCAAACACTGCAAAGATCCAAAACACAACTAAAACACCCGTATCAAACATATCGCCTTCATGAGTGAGTGAGTTAGTAAGTTCGGTTTTACGCCGCTTTTAGCAATATTCCAGCAATATCACGGCGGGGATACCAAAAATGGGCTTCACACATTGTACGCATGAATCGAACCCGGGTCTTCGACGTGACGAGCGAACGCTTTAACCACGTGGCTACCCGACCGACCCATATCACCTTCAAATAACCATTTCCTGTTTGTTTCATTTTAGCCACCCTCAAATTTGTACTTTTGTTTGCCCGGCAATATATTTGAGTATCGTGGACATTATTTACAATAATTTGCAATTGGTTCTAAATTGATAATAAATTTCATATTGTCCTTGTGACTTCAAACGTTTGATGTAAATGTAAACAGATTCATGGCTGTGTCTTTATGTGTTTGGATTGTTACTGTAGAAGATAATTCCCGCTGAACAATAACAACATGTGTGCTCAGTGGAAGAAATGATCAATTCCTTTATTGTCACTTATTACACATGATAATTAATGATTAATTGATGAGCCGTCGAATGCTGCGAATGCATACCAGATGTGTTGTTTCCCCCCAGAACAAATTGACACACGTAGTAAAGTACGCCCGGACTTGCTATAAATGTTGATGTTGTCTTCAGAATCCCCGATAACTGAGTTGTATATATAATTGAGTTAGTGTATTTGAAGTCAATGTTTGTCTGTCTATTTTCACAAGGAGCCTTCTGTTTCTCTCAAAATATTTCATGTGGTAAACAACAGCAATTGATGGATTTTATTTTTACGTTTGTGTGTGAAAATATGTGTTTTTGAAACGTCAACAGATATTGATATAAACAGTCTGGAACAAAGGCTCCACTCGTCTAGTAATGGCGTACGAGAATCAATAAACTTGTAATTGGTATTCGGGATAAGTTTTACTTTTTTATCAACTTTTTAAAGATGCAATGTCGTCTTTCAAGGGATGAATGGAAATTGCGTCAGCGGCTTTTATTTGAGCCAAAAAACAACGTTTTCCGTCCCTGTACGCTTTCTAATATTCAAAAGGGGGCACGGGTGGCCCAGTCGTCTAAGGCGCCGCGATTCGCTGCGCAGAGTTGCGTCCCTTGGGCACGCCACAAACTTATGATTGTGGGTTCGAATCCCGGTTCGCCCCGATTATGTTTCTAGGTTTATCAGCACCATACCCGTGCTCGTGGGTTTCACCGAAGTGGAAAACTTCTGAGACCTGCATTACTTCGGGCTTTCCTCCCACATAAAGCTAACACGCCGTGATATAACTGGAATACTGTTAAACTCAACCCACTCACTCACTCTAATATTCAAATTACGGCTGCAGTTCATGTTGAAATCCACCCACCCTCAAAGACTGGTTTCACAACTTTGCATGTACTTGAAGTTCTGCGCAATGTATTATCCCGAATGTGTCCCACGCTGCAAAAACCTATTTCAAATATACCTTGGTGTTCCGCGACAACTCTAGGAGACGGGTTCACGGGTGCTACAGGTAGGGACAGACAGTGATTTTCGGCGGATGATCGAGACGGGTTGTTTTATTGCGTTGTAATGACGTTTGTATTTCCGATTTGACACTTTAAAGTGTCCAGTCGTTAGTAATATATAACACCGATAATTTACAGTCATATATCAGAAAGACTTGATTTTATAATAGGCCTTTGGAAGAACTTTAACAGTTTTACTGATACTTCTGAACCTTGGTGAATGGAATAGACATGTCAGTTTGACCGGGGGTTCTCATGACATGTCCCTTCTTCATCTGTAAACGTGTGTGATAGGGACAAAAGTGTCAGTAGACCGAACATTGTTCCTCGACACACAGTTTAGTTCCATTACTCCAAGAATTAAAGTGCTGTCAGGTTAAATGGAGTTTAACGTCGCGTTAATGGTTAATGCACATATAACACGACGCAGGTGTGTGTGTGTGTGTGTGTGTGTGTCTGTGTGTGTGTGTGTGTGTGTGTGTGTGTGTGTGTGTGTGTGTGTGTGTGTGTGTGTGTGTGTGTGTGTGTGTGTGTTTGTTTGTGGGTGGGTGTCTGTGTGTATGATATGCTTATATTTTCGTCATTATTATTCAGTTTCCCTGACATGCCGATATACTAATCAGACGAAGTATACTGATTGCAAACCGACCAGATAAGCTAAGGATGATAAGTACAATATTTTCACGCCTTTTGCTATGACGCTGCCACGGATCAAAACACTGACCTTTCGCTCTCCGGGCGTATGCTCTGTCACTAGACCAACGAGTTGGTCCCATTAAAGTGAACACTCCTAAATCAGTTAATAATTAATATCTACCCTGTCCTCAAACCAAAATCTGTGTAATGAGTCCCTTTACTAGTGTGCATCGCATTCTATATTGACGTTGAAATCATTGTATTTTCAAGCCTCACAATGGCCAATGTGGACGGCGCCAGTGCGCCCAGACGGAGACGTGTGTCCCTGTTCAAGCAGCAACTGCCTACATCTGTCTGGCGACAACGTCAACGACCTCAACTTCTGCCACAACTGCTTCTCCATCCAGTACATCTTCTGTTCCTCCTGTGGCAACAACCACGAACACATCTCCAAGTGAAACTGTTACTTCCTTTGTGGCGTCTACACCACCCACCACTAGCACATCAAGTCCAACGACTACGCTGACAACAACGACTTCATCTTCTGCCACAACTGCTTCTCCATCCAGTACATCTTCTGTTCCTCCTGTGGCAACAACCACGAACACATCTCCAAGTGAAACTGGTACTTCCTTTGTGTCGTCTACAACACCCACCACTAGCACATCGAGTCCCACGACTACGCTGACAACAACGACTTCATCTCCTACCACAACAGCTTCTCCATCCACACTTACTACAACCTCTGTGCCTGCTGTGACAACAACCACTTACACATCTCAAAATGCAACTATTACCTCCGTTGTGTCTTCTACAACCACCACCACCGGAACCACCACAACAAGCCCCACAACTACACTGACAACAACGACTTCCTCCCCAACTACATCGAGTATCATCACAACTCCTACAACTATACCGACAACATCTACCCCAGCTACTACAAGTACCACCCCTGCACCGACAACAACCTCCACAACTACCACGGCTACGCCAACAACAACAAGTACAACCACAACTACTACCACTGCAACGACTACGACCACAACACCCACAACTACAACGACATCAGGTACTTAGGCTTGTTTTTTTTGCTGAGAGTGTTATTAATGGCTACAGTTTAATTCAGCTTTGGTCATTTATGTTCTATAGTGTATTTATTGTTTAACGCCGCACTATTGTAACTAAATTTGTTTTTGACTGCGGCCTGTAAATATTCCAGGCAACGACCCACAGTGTCGGAGAACGATGATACGTAATCAGCCGAGTCACTGAGCCTGACGACCCTTCCCGGAATCCCTACGTTGCATTTATAGTTTAAGGGGTCGTCCACTCGACATTGTAGAGGAGGTGTGTGAGCAAGGAATGTGGTGTTATCATATATGTACAACCATGTTACGATCATAGTGTTATCACATATGTACAACCATGTTACGAGCATGGTGTTGTCACATGTGTACAACGATGTTACGATCATGGTGTTATCTTGTGTGTACAACGATGTTACGATCATGGTGTTATGTGTGTACAACCATGTTACGATCATGGTGTTATCACATATGTACAACCATGTTACGATCATAGTGTTATCACATGTCTACAACCATGTTACGATCATAGTGATATCACATATGTACAACCATGTTACGATCATAGTGATATCACATGTCTACAACTACTATCAGTAAAGGCTCGTATGTAGACATGGTGATAATGTATGTTTGTGGTCATGATACCATAAAAATACTCCGTTATTTCAACGCTGTCATATCACATGCGTGCTACCATGCTACTTAAAAACACTTGGTTAAGTTGATATCATATGATCATGCACCAGTATGTGTGTAGTCATACTACGATCAGAAAACTACATGATGTTCACAGGGTACCAAGGTATGTTTGTGATCATGTTAACATAAAACTGCTTCGTCCTATTGACGAAGTGAGATCGTTGTTCTGTGCCCATTACCAAATCAGAAATTCGTTTGTGTTGGCGTAAATATATCTTCGGCCGACCACAGTACTACAGAACATACTTCAGTGGGTATAGTAAATAACACTCTACTCGGCCCTGAGAATTTGCAGCACTAACATAAGATGAAAATCAGTCCATCAGTGTGAAGTCATTAGAGGTATTCCGGAGGTAAAACGTCTCGGCACGATATTTAATCACATCTGTTGTCGTCTCTTCAATACTGCCATTAAACTTCAGCTATCAAGTTGAGTGTTTCATTGTCCCCTATTGTTGTCATCGATTCTGATGAATAAAATATAGCACCAGAGACTCAGCGATGCATCTGGTGTTCCTTACTGCTGATGCGACTATATTGTGTCAACACATTGAACTGGTTTCCAGTTCGATACCTAACCTTAAATTGATTTTCTTTGTTTTCAAGTCAATGTACGCCGGGCCTTTGTTTACATCGATGACATGTGCGAGACAGAAGATCCCTTTAAAACCGAATTACCCACAAAAGAAAACTTTGTTCAGCTTTCCACCCGGATAGCTTATGTGACTATTTTCACGTCTACATAAAACCTCGATGAATAAGTACACCACGCATGCAGTGAACAGAAATAGTTCATTCCAAGCTTTCAATACGACCCAACCCAAGAATTGTTTTTTTCCTAGTGGTTCTAGATTTGATTACATATCAACACTGAAATGTACTGGCCCAGGCAACGCAATCCAAAAGTCACCAACGAAACACAAAGTAATTCAGTGACACCGTCTTAGGTTGTGCAATCCTTAATAACCAAAGTAATTCATTGGTACTATCCTAGGCGCGTGTGAATCTGCCATGTGACTGATCTGCCAAGCATTCGGGCAACTAGGGAAATAGACGCGAATCTAACGCGACCACAACTCGCCCCCTTTGTCTGTACATTGAGATTTAGATTTTAGCTGTTTCACTAGCGATCATGAGTTCCCCTATAGGCGCACAAACTTTGGCTTTTGTGTGCACGTGCATCACGTGCTGTACGTGCGTAATGTGAAATTTCATTGTGATTAGATGTTGCGTTCAGATGCAACCCGATTATTACTGTACATCTCAACGATTGCTACATTCAAATCAATATTTCCCTTACTTGTTGGTAGTAGAAAACGTCAAGGCCAGAGACTAACTAGTCTCGATTATTTGACAAAAGAGATTCCATTTAGTGTAAAGGGTAAATTAGTGATGAAAACTATACGAATGGATATATGTATAACAGTCACAAACTGTATAGGATCGCGTAAAGTAGCGGAAAAAAAGGAAGTCATTAAGAAATGAAAAACAATTCTTAAATGTTTCCCTTGTAGTCCTGTGTATAGGGGCTTCTATGTGAACATGTAATGTCAAATGTTTCCCTTGTAGTCCTGTGTGTAGGGGCTTCTATGTGAACATGTAATGTCAAATGTTTCCCTTGTAGGTCCTGTCTATAGGGGCTGCTATGTGAACATGTAATGTCAAATGTTTCCCTTGTAGGTCCTGTCTATAGGGGCTTCTATGTGAACATGTACTGTCAAATGTTTCCCTTGTAGTCATGTATATAGGGACTGCTATGTGGACATTAAATGTCAAATGTTACCCTTGTAGGTCCTGTCTATAGGGGCTGCTATGTGAACATGTAATGTCAAATGTTTCCCTTGTAGTCATGTATATAGGGGCTGCTATGTGAACATGTAATGTCTAATGTTTCCCTTGTAGGTCCTGTATATAGGGGTTGCTACATTGATGACTCCAACAGAGTCCTTCCCTACGAACATCTCATTGACACGACCACTATGACCATTGAGTTGTGCAGGATTCACTGCACCGAGAAAGGCTACGCCTTCTTTGGACTGGAGGTAGGTGTTGGTATTTCAGTTGCCAGAGCTACTCACTCACTCACTCACTCACTCACTCACTCAATACCCATCCACTCACTCACTCACTCACATCTCCAAATTGCTCCCGATATGAGGATATATATGTGCAGTTAATGTGGCAAATAAAGGCGAAAATCTGTTTACTTTGAATTAAGAAGAAGAAAATATTACAACGTTAAGAAAAGTATGGTACAGAAATATAAGTCACATGCTTTGTTTTTAAGGTGGGAGTAGAATGTTTATGCGGTCACAAAATCAAGAGTGGCTACACGAAGGTGCTTGACAACAAGTGCGACAAGCCCTGCGCAGCGGACCCTGCGAATACTTGTGGAGGGGAATGGAAGATCGCCATTTACGAAGTTGTGTGAGGATTTAGCGTCAATTCTTCATCAAACCCGTCTGGGTCGGTGTGGTAGCCTAGTGGTTAAAGTGTTCGTTCGTCACGCCGTGTCACGCCAAAGGTCCTAGTTCGATTCCCGACATGGGTGCAATCTGTGAAGCCAATGATCGGGGTCTCGCAACGTGATATTGCTGTGATATTTCTAAAATCGGCGTAAAACCTCATTGACTGACTGACTCACTCACTCACCCAAGATCAACCACGATTGTGTGGCTGACACATATGCCTAGGGATAGATGTCTGGAATGGACATACCGCCTTAATGTACTATGAATATAAAGATCACCACAGAATAGTTCATCAGTGTACATTGACGGTCGTTTTATGTTAGGAATTCTTTTGTGAAACTTGTTCAGATCGTGTCCTCTAAGATACTGCGTAAATAGTTTTATGTGAAGCCACATTCCTGACAGTGTTGCTTGTGAAGGCAGGATGTACTCAACCACTGCAGGCGGTGTTATATCGCTAACAATTATTACTAGTAAGGACCGGGTGTACTCAAAAAGAGCAAATGTTGCTTGTGGTGAGGGCAGGATATACTCATCGACTGTAGCCTGTGTTTCACCCTAACATTGTTGCTTGTGAAACACGATATAGTCATCAACTGTACCCTCTGTTACCCTAAGATTGTGTCTTGTGAAACAAGATATACTCATCGACTGTAGCCTGTGTTTCACCCTAACATTGTTTTTGTGAAACAAGATATACTTATCTACTGTACCCTGTGTAAATCCTAACATTGTTGCTTGTGAGGGCAAGATATACTTATCTACTGTACCCTGTGTCACACCCTAACATTGTTGCTTGTGAGGGCAAGATATACTTATCTACTGTACCCTGTGTAACACCCTAACATTGTTGCTTGTGAGGGCAAGACATACTTATCTACTGTACCCTGTGTTAATCCTAACATTGTTGCTTGTGAGGGCAAGATATACTTATCTGCTGTAGCCTGTGTCACACCCTAACATTGTTGCTTGTGAGGGCAAAATATACTTATCTACTGTACCTTGTGTCACACCCTAACATTGTTGCTGGTGAGGGCAAGATATACTTATCTACTGTACCCTGTGTCACACCCTAACATTGTTGCTGGTGAGGGCAAGATATACTTATCTACTGTACCCTGTGTCACACCCTAACATTGTTGCTTGTGAGGGCAAGATATACTTATCTACTGTACCCTGTGTTAATCCTAACATTGCTGCTTGTGAGGGCAAGATATACTTATCTACTGTACCCTGTGTCACACCCTAACATTGTTGCTTGTGAGGGCAAGATATACTTATCTACTGTACCCTGTGTTACACCCTAACATTGTTGTTTGTGACAAGACAAACACAACCACAGTACCCTGTGTTACATCCTAACATTGTTGTTTGTGACAAGACAAACAAAACCACAGTACCCTGTGTTTACATCCTCAGATTGTTGTTTGTGACAAGAAAAACACAACCACAGTACCCTGTGTTACATCCTAACAGTGTTGCTGGTGACAAGAGAAACACAACCACAGTACCCTGTGTTACATCCCAACATTGTTGTTTGTGACAAGACAAACACAACCACAGTACCCTGTGTTACATCCCAACATTGTTGCTGGTGACAAAACAAACACAACCACAGTACCCTGTGTTACATCCCAACATTGTTGTTTGTGACAAGACAAACACAACCACAGTACCCTGTGTTACATCCTAACATTGTTGTTTGTGACAAGAGAAACACAACCACAGTACCCTGTGTTACATCCCAACATTGTTGTTTGTGACAAGACAAACTCCACCACAGTACCCTGTGTTACATCCCAACATTGTTGCTGGTGACAAAACAAACACAACCACAGTACCCTGTGTTACATCCCAACATTGTTGTTTGTGACAAGACAAACACAACCACAGTACCCTGTGTTACATCCCAACATTGTTGCTGGTGACAAGACAAACACAACCACAGTACCCTGTGTTACATCCCAACATTGTTGTTTGTGACAAGACAAACTCCACCACAGTACCCTGTGTTACATCCTAACATTGTTGTTTGTGACAAGAGAAACACAACCACAGTACCCTGTGTTACATCCCAACATTGTTGTTTGTGACAAGACAAACTCCACCACAGTACCCTGTGTTACATCCCAACATTGTTGCTGGTGACAAAACAAACACAACCACAGTACCCTGTGTTACATCCCAACATTGTTGTTTGTGACAAGACAAACACAACCACAGTACCCTGTGTTACATCCCAACATTGTTGCTGGTGACAAAACAAACACAACCACAGTACCCTGTGTTACATCCCAACATTGTTGTTTGTGACAAGACAAACACAACCACAGTACCCTGTGTTACATCCTAACATTGTTGTTTGTAACAAGACAAACACAACCACAGTACCCTGTGTTACATCCCAACATTGTTGCTGGTGACAAAACAAACACAACCACAGTACCCTGTGTTACAAACTAACATTGTTGCTGGTGACAAAACAAACACAACCACATTTCCTTGTGTTACATCCTTACATTGTGCTTGTGACAAGACAACACAACCACAGTACCTTGTGTTACATCCAAACATTGTTGTTTGTGACAAGACAACACAACCACAGTACCCTGTGTTACATCCCAACATTGTAGTTTGTGACAAGACAAACACAACCACAGTACCCTGTGTTACATCCCAACATTGTTGCTGGTGACAAGAGAAACACAACCACAGTACCCTGTGTTACATCCCAACATTGTTGCTGGTGACAAAACAAACACAACCACAGTACCCTGTGTTACTAACTAACAGTGTTGCTGGTGACAAAACAAACACAACCACAGTACCTTGTGTTACATCCAAACATTGTGCTGGTGACAAGACAAACACAACCACAGTACCCTGTTTTTACACCTTAAGTACTTGTAAAGGCGTGACGTAATCCACCACTGTTCTCCGTGTTGTACACGTTGCATTGTGCTTTGCGCTGTAATGTTTCATTCAAGTTTGTTTGACGCATTATTGAACACAATTTTAATATCCATAATTTTATTTCTCGTCTTGTTCCTTGACAAACGCATATATCATTGTCAGGTTACTTATTGAGAGCAATGCTTCGGCTTAACATTTCGCGCCTATCGATAATGATTTTGCTATATATGTGAATATACATCGGAACACTGCTCACAATAGAGCGCGCGACATGCATACACTTTCTTATCTTCTACAAATTGACACGTTTTAGTTGTCCTCTACAAATTTACACGTTTTAGTTGTCTTCTACAAATTTACACGTTTAAGTTGTCTTCTACAAATTGACACGTTTAAGTTGTCTTCTACAAATTGACACGTTTAAGTTGTCTTCTACAAATTGACACGTTTTAGTTGTCTTCTACAAATTTACACGTTTTAGTTGTCCTCTACAAATTTACACGTTTTAGCTGTCTTCTACAAATTGACACGTTTTAGTTGTCTTCTACAAATTTACACGTTTAAGTTTTCTACTACAAATTGACACGTTTTAGCTGTCTTCTACAAATTTACACGTTTTAGTTGTCCTCTACAAATTTACACATTTTGCTATATATGTGAATATACATCGGAACACTGCTCACAATAGAGCGCGCGACATGCATACACTTTCTTATCTTCTACAAATTGACACGTTTTAGTTGTCCTCTACAAATTTACACGTTTTAGTTGTCTTCTACAAATTTACACGTTTAAGTTGTCTTCTACAAATTGACACGTTTAAGTTGTCTTCTACAAATTGACACGTTTAAGTTGTCTTCTACAAATTGACACGTTTTAGTTGTCTTCTACAAATTTACACGTTTTAGTTGTCCTCTACAAATTTACACGTTTTAGCTGTCTTCTACAAATTGACACGTTTTAGTTGTCTTCTACAAATTTACACGTTTAAGTTTTCTACTACAAATTGACACGTTTTAGCTGTCTTCTACAAATTTACACGTTTTAGTTGTCCTCTACAAATTTACACGTTTTAGCTGTCTTCTACAAATTGACACGTTTTAGTTGTCTTCTACAAATTGACACGTTTAAGTTGTCTTCTACAAATTGACACGTTTAAGTTGTCTTCTACAAATTGACACGTTTAAGTTGTCTTCTACAAATTGACACGTTTTAGTTGTCTTCTACAAATTTACACGTTTTAGTTGTCCTCTACAAATTTACACGTTTTAGCTGTCTTCTACAAATTGACACGTTTTAGTTGTCTTCTACAAATTGACACGTTTAAGTTGTCTTCTACAAATTTACACGTTTAAGTTGTCTTCTACAAATTTACACGTTTTAGTTGTCTTCTGTAAGTCAAAGAGACCCAAACAGTACGTTGATACAAAGTGTTGGGCAATATAGGTAAAGAGACTAATATCTCGGTTCATGAAACGTAGGTCATCATTTCATTTTCTTATTCTCATCTGATATCACATGTCTATGAACCATTTTTTAAAATTGGATTATAAATAATATGTAACACTTGTCCAGATAGTTTTATTGTCAAGCATGTGCTAAAGATGTTTGTCTGTACTTGGTGGCGGGTAGTAATGGATTCTAACGGCGAATAGGTGATGTGACAAGGTGTTTTACGTCGCGTCCAAGATCGTTGCACTTATATGGTGACGTGCATGCACGTGAGTGTGTGTGTGTGTGTGTGTGTGTGTGGGGGGGGGGGGGGGGGGGGGGGGGGGCGTGCGTGCGTGCGTGCGTGCGTGCGTGCGTGCGTGTGTGTGTGTGTGTGTGAGTGTGTGTGTGTGTGTCTGCTTGTACTAGTTCGGACTAATACCGATTTTATAGTGCTAGCCCACTGATATACCATTCCTTAGTTTAACATGAATACTCAACTCAGAATATAACACACAATATACTGACTCCGAGACGAGCAGTCCTAGTTTTAACCCCTGAATGCTGATCGCCAGGCTGGGAAACAACAAGTACCATATTTTAACGTCTGATGACGCGGCCGGGGATTGAACCCCGGACCCTCCGTTCTCATGCACGCTCGAACACCAGACCACGGAGGCGGTCCTAACGGCGTATAGGCTTGTAAATCAGCCTGATAATAATCGAGTCTGGACCGGACAATCTGGTGACTAAAAGCATCAGCAACTACCCACACCAGCGGATCAAGTCATGACAAGCCGATCCTCATTCATCCACACTGCGACATCCATTGGATTCTGGGGAACTATTCTTACATGCATGGTATGACGTGTCTATTCCCAAACTGAAACGCAAAGGTTAACCCCCGTTTGTTAGTACAGATACACATCGTAACATCACCTTGTATAATGATAAATGCATAGTAGTATATGTATACACAAGCAGCCTCTAGCTTCTATTCCTTTGGTCAGACAGGAATCAGTGTACATCACCGATCACCGATCTGATACGGTTACCGAAAGAACAAGAAATCCCCCTGTTAAATATATGGGCGAAACAAACACAGGACACATATGCTTAAATTTGTATTAAGCTATACTGAACATAAAGACATGTTAATATTCTTCATGTAGTATTCCTGTTTGATGGTGACATAAATCGCGAGTAAACCGAAATTATTAAACTATTACCGGTATTTCCATAATGTTACAACAATTTTCAGTAGCCAAATGAATAAAACTATCGTCAAATAAGACGTTGTTTGATCAAACTTTCAAAACTATTGTTGGTGGGCATGTGGGACTTCCCAACGCATGAGTCGCTTAACGGATGTCTGATGAAGTTCCCCTATTTTGACTTGTACCATATGTTCCCGTGATTCTTCAAGTAAACAATTGAATTCCTTTGTATGTGTTTGTGACGAGTGCCACCGGTAGGGCCGGTGTTATGTGTCAGCAATATTTCTGCCAGCGGAAACTGTTTGAATCTGTGTTTGTACATTATTTGATAGAGTTTCATAAACATATACTTATGATATCGTCGGAATTGAACAACAGACTTTTACAGACCATCTATATAGGGGGCATCTTCCATCAACTTATATATCAACGTATATTCGCTCACGCGTGCGTGCATGCGTGTAGGCGTGTATACGTGCGTGTGTTCGTGCTTGCCTGTCTATCGGTTTTATAGTGCAATCCTACTGAGATACCATATCCTACTATAACATTATACTGACTCAGAGCCAAAAGTCCTTGTTTTACCACCTAATCCCGAGCGTCCGGCATGGTAACAACATGTACCATCTTTTAACATATTTGGTATTAAGCGGCCGGGGGCGTTTCACTAAGTTAAAAGCAGAGGATGATAGATACTGTACGATGCCGAGTCGTCTTCAGCTCAAGGTTCTACTACATCAAATCAGAACCAGTTTGGACAGTGCAGATCGAGAGATATCTGCAGGCTGTGATTGGAGGATATTCTGTAAGATTTTTATGTCTTTCAAATGTACATCCATCCAGGTATTAAAACTGACCATGTTTTTCTATATTTAGTACTGTCTTTTTCAACATGATGACTTATGCTGAATGTGACCACAGCTATTTTCAAGTAGGTGACATTTGGTGCGAAACTGGGGGTGGTGTGTTTAGCTTCCGGTACTCGGAAAAGGAGCTGGCTAAGCTAGTCTTTTTTTTAATTTTCTATTGCTGCTCTAAGGCCAAACTGTGCACACACGTACAGGTAATAGCTGTTGAAAGCTTAGTTATTTTTAAAAAAAATATAACGTTACTATAGAAGTCTATTGGAAAACATTTGGTTGTGTGTAACCTCAAACGAAGCGGTATTCAGACATATCAGGGCGGATACGTTGGCAATGATTTTGTGCCAGCAGGTTCACATCAACCTACATAATCAGGTTATTGTTAAACCTAAGTACAGTTTAGGGCTGTTCTCTGGGGTAATATAAAGTATTAATAACACTGTCACCGTGAACAAATTTGGACAGCGTTGGATAGCGAAAAGTAACGGTAGTAGATCAAGTTATGCCTGGTCGGTTTGGACAGACAGGCACTCTAACCATGTAAACTAGTGTGCAAAAGAAGTATACACCCATTTTGGTTGGTCGATAAAATGAAAACAAACAAGAGAATGTTAATCAATGATGGTGTATTCGCTAATAGGGTCACATGCGATAGTCCATGCATAATTTCAGTGCGAAACTCAAAACAGGTGACGTGTACATGACGCTCACATGAACATGAGGGTAGGAAAATCACAGTTCAGAGGAATGATCAGAGTCAACTAGGTACTGTCTTGGTAAGTTTGTAGTCTTTAACGGATACCTGGTACGCTTAGTAACGAGTATGATCACCGTGAGCACCGATGCTCGCCCAGACTCGCCGCCTCATTGATGTTGTCAGCCGCCTGGTGACGTAATCGGGAATCCGATTCCATTCAGTTCCTAAAGCGTCGTCAAGCTGTTGCTGGTTTGCTGTAGGGTGTGGACGTCTTCGGATCTGACGCCTCAGATGATCCCACAAGTGCTCAATTTGATTCAAGTCAGGTGAGAGTGCTGGCCACGGAAGAACGTTGACGTTGTTCGTGTTCAAGAAGTCCTGGACGAGCCTTGCATGCAGTGTGTTGTCTAGCGTTGTCATGCTGCAGGAGTGTTCCTACTGTCGATGTTCGACGTCGATGTTCCCGGGTTAATGCCATTCCGTTTCCGTAGCCGTGACGAACCTGTTGCGCATTATTGTTCACTATCATGACCTTTGAAAATCAGGTGTGGGTGGTATGATAAGATAATACACGTAGATGTATCTATTTAATATAAGCCTTAATGAGAAAACCATGATGTTTTCAGAATAATATTTAACAATTATCTTCTACGGATATGTTACCATTCTCCCTGTCTTATTTTCTAAGACTAATGGTAGTGAATGAGTGTGTTTTTACGCCGCTTTTAGTAATATGTTTAAAATATCGCAGCGATGTAGCCAAGAAATAAGCTTCACAAATTTAACCCATGTAGGGATCGAATTCTTGTCTTCGACGCGACGAGCGAACGTTTTAACCACTAGGCTACCCTAGACTGATGGCAAGTGCAGCTGATCATGATAGTTCGGACTGGACAGATAGACATTCTAATAATGCATTACTGTTACGGTTCGCCCCGATTATGTTTCTAGGTTTGTCAACCATACCCGTGCTCGTGGGTTTCACCGAAGTGGTAAACGTCTGAGACCTGCATCACTTCGGGCTTTCCTCCCACATTAAGCTGACACGCCGTGATATAACTGGAATAAAGTTAAAAGCGGCGTTAAACCCAACTCACTCACACTACTGTTACGAGTGAGTTATTTTAAAACCAACTAGTACATACATCCAACTATCAAATAACTAAAATAATGTAACTAAATATTTATGGATTAATTCCACAAAAAATATGATTTCAGTTTTGCATTTAAAGGTTGAAGTTTTCTCACACAAACAAGGTGGCATTTAAGATCAAGACACTGATAAGAAGAATGGAATGTTCCACATCATGAGAAAGGTATTGATTTATCCCGTGATATGCCAAGGAGAGGCACGTGCCACCGAGCCGTGGATGCCCGTGCCTATAATAAAAACAGAAGATGAGATTGGGTTAAATGGCCGAGGGTGTGCAGGTACTAGTGGGCTACTAAGTTGCTAATTGTGTATACCAAAATGCTACCGTTGCCATGGCCACTAGCGTGGCCAACGGCGATTCGCAGCTAGCGCTGCCGGCCTGAGACTGCTACCGCTGTCCGGCCCCCACGGTAGCATATTTAAACGCTACCATTGCTTGGCAACTCCCACGCTGCCAAAAGCAGCTCCCGCTGCTGGCCTTAGTCAGACTACCGCTGCCCGGCCCCAGGTAGCCGGCCAAAGCAGATCCCACTGCCTGGCCCCATTAGCAAAATCATTGTGCGACTACCGCCGCTGACCCAACTGTCAGCTACCGCTTGACAAGACGACTTCCGCCGCCGGGCCCATATACGTGGGAATTACACGTAATTAACTGTAATAGAAAAGAAAAAACGCTGAAGAAAAGAAGCGATTAGCATTCCAGGTGAAGGGCACACATCCGGCTGAAAAGGAAAGAAAAGGAGTGGGTGGGTGGGTGGGTGGGAAAGCGATTAGATACAGCGAAACACGTGTGTACTTGAAGAGGGACGGTGCGCGAATGATGGACTGTAACAAAAGGCGGGATGATTACGAGGGGTGATTGGGTTACGGGCGTAATTAGCCAATGGTTCGGATACGCGCGATAAAGTCATTTAGTAGTTAGTACTAAATGTAAATATCAGATTGTGAATTTCTATTGTGCCACAAAAGGAATGTGTACAATTAACCTTACATCAATGATATGTTCTCATGTTCAGGCTTGTAAATGTTTGTTTGTTTGTTGTTTAACGCCGCACTCAGCAGGATTCCAGCTATATGACGGCGGTCTGTAAATAATCGAGTCTGAACCATACAATCCAGTGATTGACATCATGAGCATTGATCCACGCAATTGGGATACGATGACATGCATCAACCAAGTCAGCGAGTATGACCACCCGATCCCGTTAGTCGCCTTTTACGACAAGCACAGTCGACAAGCATAGTGACCTTCTACGGCAAGTATGGGTTGCTGAAGATCTATTCTACCCTGGATCTTCACGGGTTGCTTGTAAATGATAATTCCGATTTGGATGCATCAGTGTCCAAAATGATTATGATGAGGGTGTTTCCGCTTATATTAAATGCAGCATGGCGAATGAATGCAGTTAAGTACACACATGTATTTGTAAAGATATCTAGATCTAGACCTTCATTGGCTCCCGCGGCAGTGTCCCTTCAAAGCATATTTTATGGCATTATTTCTATCAGGAACTTTTCGTTTCAAACTAAACACGATTGTACGACCAGATCACTCAAACGGATACAAATCATACGACATGGAAGCGATTGATTTAGGGGCGGTCAAAAGCGCCATGCTAGCAAGCGGCAGGTGCTGAGATGTGTTTCCAATTGCTTCATTATGTTTCCAATTGCTTCATTATCACCAATACATTCTCACTGGAAACTAATATCTCTTCCAAGTTTTGAAATTCCCTGTTATTTGCGAGTATCTCCTACTTTTATGAAGAGTATATTACCGATGTGGCGCTAGATTTTATCTCATTGGTAGTGATACAAAGAGGGATCCTGGAATAAGATAGGTGACATGCTTGTGAGGTAAGGGGTGGTCGCTCAATAGACTTAAAGAAAAAACTTGAGGGGCTGCGGGTGTAGTTACAGGGTTAACGAAATATGAAATTTGTTGGAATACACTTGTAAAAGGAGTGAGTGAGTGAGTTGGATTCAACTCCGCTTTGAACAGTATTCCAGATATATCACGGCGTGTCAGCTCAATTAATGTTGGAAGAGAGCCCGAAGTGACGCAGATCTCAGACGTATGCATCTTTTGTGAAACCCACGTGCCTCAGTATGGTGCTGACAAGCCATGAAACATAATCAGGGCGAACTGGGTTTCGAACACTCGCAGAAATAAGAACGTATCGCAAGGTCTGCTTGTTTAATAAATGAACAACGATGTAGACCTTGGTACTCAAGTGTCCCTTCTTGGTGAATCTACAATGGGCAGTTTCTATTTGTGAGTGAACTACTGAAAGGTATACAGATCACATCAAAGGTTGAATATTTTAAGTCAAGCTGATTAATATTTCACACGGAAAGTGTTCTGTTAGTCTCACCTTTCATCTACGTCATTGTCGGAGAGAAAACCTTTCTTTCTTGGAGGAGCACAGTTATTTCCCTATTCGACAACAGCTATAGGTGCTGACTTGAGGCTGCTTGGTACGTATTTTGATGATCGCATTTACAAGATGACGGCCTTAAGCATGTGTACATTTACATTTGCATGATTTATATTTTATATTTTAGATAAGAACAGCAAAAGCCCATTTTCAACTTGCTAATTTGACATGTGCCTTTTTAAAACAATGTGGCTGCTTTTGAGAATGTGTCTGCCTTCATATGATTGAATATGCTTAAAACTCATTTGAATACAAAAAGTGGTCAAATGTAACACATGTTATACCTTGGATAACATTCTCTTTGTAAAGTATTAATTCTAGTACTAGTTGGTTGGTTGGTTGGTTGGTTGTTTTACGCCGCACTCAGCAATATTCCAGCTATATGACGGCGATCTGTTAATAACGGAATCTGGACCAGTCAATCCAGTGATTCATATCATGAGCATCGATCCACGCAATTGAAATTGATGACATGCTTCAACCAGGTCAGCGAGCCTGACCAACCGACCCCGTTAGTCGCCTCTTACTACAAGCATGGTCGCCTTTTACGGCAAGCATGGGTTGCTGAAGACCTATATTCTACCCCGGATCTTCACGGGTTTAACAAAGAGAATGTAATCTCATGTATAGCATTTGTTACACGAGCACATTTGTGGAAATTTGAAACGTGGCAATAGAAGACCAGAAAAGGAAAGATATGGAAATAGTAACTAAATTTTAATAATGAATTTAGTTAAGGGGAACTGTTTTAATAGTGCTATTAGAACACCCTCAGGGAAATTAAACAGAATTGTCTCCCCGGGCAACTCTCCACTTCCGGCGCGTATAGACGTAATATGACAGATGTTGAATACGTGACAACCTCTTTATTCTTTACATTGACTTTTCAGAGTCACTTCAGTAGATGACCCGTATTGAGTTACACATTAATACGTATACACATTCATACTCATTATAATACCCCATATGGGTACAATGTGTGAAGCCTATTTCTGGTGTCCCCCGCCGGGATATTGCTGGAATATTGCAAAAAGCGGCGTAAATGGCCACACACTCACTCACTCATTATTATATTTACGAAAGGTTGGATTAATGTGCAAAAATAACAACATTATAACCATCCTGACTACGACACCAGAGACTAGTATATTCAGTGTGAAACAATGCCTTTCTTCACATGAAAGTTAAAAGATCTGGTTAAGATATGGAGGTATATAATTCCCCAGACCTTTAAGGCACAAGCTATACATTTCCATCAATAATACATTAATGAGAGGCGGCGGCGAGATAGCATATCGATCATAAACTGTTTTGTCAACGTTGAAGCTTGTTGTATTTCTGTACATTAGTTAAAAGAATGATCGTGTAAAACACTAAATATTCCAGACAAGAAGATGGCATGTAGAACCCCGCTTAAATCAACACCCTTGTCTGTGCTATTCAAACAGTGACAATAGGCAATTGTTGCAAGCGACTGAAGCGCGTTCGCGCCGGGAGGTATAATCGCCAAAAATTCTGCCGCTAAAGGACCTGTCACACCTAGCCGATTTGGGTCGCCGGAGCTACACTGGAGCACAAATTCGGAGGCGATCGTCGGAGGCGACGATAGAAATTTTTGAACATGCTGAACAATTTCCGCCGTTGGGCTGCCGGAGCGAGTAACGGGACTACAACTGTACAACTCAGTACAACGGCAGTACTCCGGTATGGCTTCGTTAATGTCGGTACAGTACCGGTAGCGCCCCGTAATGGATCGGCGGCTCTCCGGTGGCCTCAGTGTGTACCGTACTGGTACAGATGTGATACCGTAAACTACCGAGTACCACCGAAGTAGTACCGATGCGCCGCCGATGTGATACCCAAGCTCCATCGTCAAATCGGCAGTGCAACGGTATCACTTCGCTACAGCTCCGGTCAACGGTGGTACATCGGTATCACATCGGCGGCGCATCGGTAATGACTGAGTCACACATCCACCGATGCCGAGAAACATTAGTTTACGATGCCCGAAAGGGCTGAAAATCGGCAAAATTGAGAGATACCCAACGGGGCACCGGACGATCATCTGTGAGCATTGGCAATGTTTTTGACATTGGGAAGACCCCGGTGGACACATCGGAAGAAAATAACTCGGACACCGGGAACGTTGACGTGCCTGTTCCGGAGTATATATAATGGGCTGAATGGGATGAGCAGCTTAGAATGTCTTCAGGGTGCCTCTCCCTCCACACCCACTGGTCTGGCTCCGTATGCAGTACGCTAGAGGCCAAAGTTCCCTTTGCCTCCCCACTCTTCATCTCCGAAGTTTCAGACTCCCCAAATTTACAAATGTGATACAGTTCTTGCAGCAGTTTCGACGGCGAACACGAACTATGATCGGCAGGGCACTGAGCGGGCTCCTTTTATAGCGAGCAGGAAACGGGCGGTGTTCATCCGGGCATACCCGTCCGATTTGGTTTACATCGGACGGGCACCGTCGCGGTATCGGGAGATTACTGGTCGATTCCCGCTAGATGACCGGTCAGTCACTGGACGGTATAAGCCTACCATTTTGTCCTAAATCCATCGGACACCCTATATTTACCTCTCATCTTTGGTTTCATGACCACTGCACCGATATGTCACAGTAGGGGCAATACTCTGTGGCATGCCGGGGCATCGGTGAAACTCACCGATGCCCCAACATTGTCCGGTGACCGTTGTATATGTGACTGAGGTAATAAACTAAGGTGACAGAAAAGTGGTATTCGGGAGCACATGGGCTCTTACATCGGTAAGACAACGGTAGAACAACGGTAGAACAACGGGATCGCCGGTACCACATTGGTATTGCCAGGGTCAATTTTCAGTGCTTTCTCGTCGGAGCGCCGCCGATTTTCTCGCTGTTGTTAATTGTCTGCTCCAGTTTAGCCCGTCGAGGTACAACGGTAGTGTGTGACAGGCTCTTTAGCCCATGCGCATCAAGGGCAGATCAGTATGGTTCTAATATACCCCATACGTAATGCAAACAGTGTTACCTACGATTAAGTAAATCGTTAATTGTAATGGTGTGTATTATTCTTTATGTATGATTACGCTTTTGTATGAATTTGGGGCCGGCGGCCTTATACTGTCTGATGATACAATTAAGAAACTGTACTCCGATATTCCTATTGGTATGTTTAGTGAGAAATCCAACCCCCCCCCCCCCAAAAAAAAAAAAACAACAACAAAAAAACAAAAAAAACAAACAACAACAACAAAACACACACACACTCTCACACTCAGAGAGAATATTGAATAGTCGGTCCCATACATACCACACCTCAGTGCACGTGTCGGTATGTGACCAATTGTCGCAATGACTCTCTTTTCCTCACAGTTGAGAGAACATGGGGGACGTAAGTAGAATGGTGTTCTATTGTTCGACCTTCATCTACGTGTTCCTGGGAGCAGCAAGCACGGGTACAGCCGCCAGAGCAACATCTCCGACGTTCGACAGACGTCGTCATCTGCTTTCGATGTGTCTGATACTGTGCCGTCATGCCCACAGTTGCACTAACGTCACCGCAGTGCCCTCCGAGCTGCGATGTCACATCGAAGGAGAAGAAAACTTACAAAAGACGTATTTCTTCAACTGTTTACGGGTTAATTTCAGCTTGTCTTTTTTTTACATTTTGAATGTCTACCTGATCCTGTAAAACTTATTTTTTATTTATCCAATAATTCTCCATTCGTATATTTGTATCACCATTAGATAATCGAGACTGTTCTTCTTCTGGCCTTGGCGTTTGAACTTAAATGTCACCTGCATATTCGCTCTTTCATAGCCAGTTCATATGTTTTAACTATGTACCAATCCACTTATTGGGGCTAGACTCGGTTCCAAGTAACATTTGCATCTAGTAGGAGGTGACTAAATGGGTTGGTTGGTTGGTTTGTTGTTTAACGCCGCACTCAGCAATATTCCAGCTATGTGACGGCGGTCTGTAAATAATCGAGTCTGCACAGGACAATCTAGTGATTAATACCATGAGCATCGATCCACGCAATTGGGACCGATGACATGTATCAACCAAGTCAGCGAGCCTGACCACCCGATCCCGTTAGTCGCCTTTTACGACAAGCATAGTCGCCTTTTACGGCAAGCAATGGTTGCTGAAGACCTATTCTACCCCGGAATCTTCACGGGTCCGACTAAATGGGCTGAGTTGGACATGTTCGATGTCAATAGCTTCTCTGGCCTGGACAAGGCGGAATTGTTTGTTTTTTCAATAATGTTTCTTCACTTTCTTCTATGTTTTCAGAACAACGAAACACTTTCGGAATATATTAAAAGCCTGTCCACAAAGAACGGGATAAGCAAGCCTCACAGAAGTAATTCGAAGCAGCATAAAGGTATTGACGTTTCTTCAAATAAACAGGGGGCAGGGGTGGCCCAGTCGTCTAAGGCGCCGCGATTCGCTGTGCAGAGTTGCGTCCCTTGGGAACGCCAGGAACCTATGATTGTGGGTTCGAATTTTATTTGGATAGGCAGTAATAGGAATATCACTGACTCACAAGCTTAACACGGGTCGGGTCGGGTGGGTGCTTGTTTTCTAATTTCTTTTTTAACGAATGTGGATATTTTAGACAATGACACAGATGACATTCTTAGGTTCAAGGTAGCATCGTGTGTGGATAGAGATTTTGTACTTAATATCTGTGTTTGCTATCTTCCGCTTGGTTGTTCTATTAGGGCTTGTTCCAAGTTTTTTTTAGTGCTTCAGGAACAGCTCTAGTTATACCAAAACAAAAGTTCGGTTTGTATTTTAATTCTCGAAATGGCTCAGAAAAGGATTATATAGAGGGTGTAGACACTGTAACAGAGCGAGAAGTTATCGATTTTTAAAGAAAATACATAATATTATGCAGGTGTCGTAACTGTGTTTTGGGGTTAACTGAGCCCTCCTGCAGTTACCTATGTTATTGCCGTTCCGTGTCGTAACTGTGTTTTGGGGTTATCTGAGCCCTCCTGCAGTTACCTATGTTATTGCCGTTCCGTGTCGTTATAGGCAAGGTAAGCTAGACTTAGCAACTTGCTTGGTCAGACTCGGGTCATCTCAGTCAAGGAGTGATTGGTCTATCGACGCTTACACCGAACTGTCTCTCTCAACATTCATGTACCGGCCCTTGCATACACGGACTGAACACAACACACGGGTTATACTCATATACTTTTAATAACGCACCAGTCCATCCTCAAATACATTTCTGAATAATGCAGGCTAGACTCTTCATAGACTGAACAAACATATTGGTATCGATCGGCCCCAGTCACTGCCAAAACCGCGCACTACTACTAATGCTGATCGTATCTTTTTGAAGGGTTCGAGTCTAACCTTTCTTTGTCACATGTAACTATGCCTCATTTTTTATTCGTTAAAAGTTAGATCTGACCATGAACTCATGTGTGTCGTAATTGGAACAATACTGAAACATATGTGCAGATTGAGCATCTCTCTATTGATTTTGTAACTCACCTCCTTACCTCATTCATGATACATGAACTAATCGACGATAATGTGGAAACAATCCTACAATGAATACAAAATGTTCGGAAACACTCTGATGATAAATGTGAAATATCATTTCTCTATTAATCCCTTTCTCGCTAATAGTTCTGTCACGACCTTTATATGTATAATGCATCACATCATTGCAGTTATCAACGGTTTGATATATTCCAATTTTGTTATCATTTTCTAATGTTTATGAGACGCATTTAACCTTAAAACAGTGGTTTCAGTTTGGGTACACGGGAGTACATGCAGACTTGAGGTTGGGGGACTGGGTGTGCCTATACTGATGGGTTATTTTACTCACTTAAAGTGTTTTCTTTTAATCTATAAGTGTTTTACACATTTTAATAACTTTAGTGTCACATAGGTCACACTGGCAGGGCATTGTACCCGAACTACTTTGCAATTATTATGCCGAATACTGCGTAAAATTTAGATAAAAATCTTCTTCTTCACATTCACACACACACACACACACACACACACACACACACACACACACACACATAAACACTCAATACATTTTCTTATTAAATATCCTCAAGAGTCAGTAAGAGACTAGACATAACTGCCTTTGTTCTGTAAAGTTTCAGCTTTCGCCTGTTTCTTTGTCGATGGAATAAGGTTTTACAGTTGTTAAATCATCTCTCTTATCTGTCTGTACCATCAACTTAACCTCCGTCACCTCCGGCAGTTTTTCGTCCAATACTACCAAGCAGGTGACCCACAAGAAGCATATGGTTGCTGATGAGCGAGGGGAAGGGTGGCCTGGCCCTCCCTCAGTCCAGTTATGCTGCGCCTAGCACAATCTGTTGTGAAGAAGTAGCCTTGCTGTGGCTAAACATTATGTCACAATTTAGCAAACTTTGATATGTAAACAGCAAATATAATTCACTTTTATGTTATCTTAATATATCAGCTACTTGACCCCTGAAGATCCGGAGGGGCGGTCGGGTAGCCTAGTGGTTAAAGCGTTCGCTCGTCACGCCGAAGACCCCGCGGGTTCGATTCCCGACATGGGTACAATGTGTTAAGCCCATTTCTGGTGTCTCCCGCCGTGATATTGCTGGAATATTGCTAAAAAGCGGCGTAAAACCAAACTCACTCACTCACTCACTCACTCACTCACTGAAGATCCGGTGTAGAATAGGTCTTCAAAACCCATGCTTGCCATTAGAGGCGACTATGCTTGTCGTAAGAGGTGACTCGCTGACTTGGTTGATTCATCGTGTTATCATATCCCAATTGCGCGAATCGATCCAGGCTCGATAATTTACAGACCACCGTCATATGACTGGAATATTGCTGACACAAGCTTACTTACTTGCTGTCAGCACACGGATATCAATTAGTCTTTGTGAAATGAGACCGCCTCCGTGGTCTGGTGGTAGAGCGTCCGCCCGGAGAGCGGAAGGTCCGGGGTTCGATACCCGGCCGCGTCATGCCAAAAGACGTTAAAAGATGGTACTTGTCTGGCGCTCGGCATTAAGGGACTAAAACAAGGACTGGTCGGCTCCGAGTCAGTATACAGTGTCTGAGTGGGGTATTCAAGTTAAACCGCGGCATGGTATCTCAGTGAGCTAGCACTATAAATCGGCATCAGTCCGGGCTAGTACAAGCAGCCACACAAACACACACACGTACATGCACGTCGCTATATAAGTGCAATAATCTTGGACGCGACGTTAAACCCCATTTCACCTCACCTCACTTTGTGAAATGAAATTGTGAAAACCCATTAATCCAGATGCTGTTCGCGTGAAATCATTTGGATTAACACATTTCCGGCTGAACGAATCACTGGTAATATCCTTCAAGTTGGTATTTTTGTATATAGCGACACCAACCGCCCGGAAAGTGAGGCGTCAGGATTAACCTGTTCGTGAAGATGGATGTGAAATGGGGTTTAACATCCGGTAGCACTTATTTTGTGACATGCATTCACGTGCGCGTGCGTGCGTGCGTGCGTGCGTGCGTGCGTGTGTGTGTGTGTGTGTGTGTGTGTGTGTGTGTGTGTGTGTGTGTGTGTGTGTGTGTGTGTGTCTGCTTGTACTACAGTTCTTGTCCGGACTAAGGCGGATTTTATAGTGCCAGCCCACTGAGATACCATGACGAAGTTTAACATGGATACCCCACTCAGACATAGTACTAGTGCACTGACTCCAAGCACACGTTTTGAAAGTAATGTGTGATGAGACACGCACCAAACCTATACTCTTGATGTACATGTTGCTCTTATTCAAAAACATGTTGGATTAGCAAGATATCTGTAAGTGATATGCTGTGCTATGCTGTGCTATCATTCTGAATTGATATACTGAGATAAGTTGTTACCACTCATCTTTCAATATATATTTCAACAAGGTTGGGTTAATCACAAACATATTTGAATATATACAACAGCTATAACAACAAAGCCACTTGCCTAAGGCAGCAAATGCGCTACATTCTCATGTGTTTTTTGTTCAGGGAGGAAGGAGTGGACATTGTACATGGTGGACGTGATAACGGGATCTACGTCTGGCGCAGGGACAGGCTGTGACATCTCTCTTATACTACTTGGGGACAAGGGTATGGTCACCAAGAAACTGCGGAAGAAAGGTTTTGTATTCAAGCTGGGATCTGTAGGTCATTTTGAGGTAAAGAAACAGTGTTATCGATGTTTTGATACCCTGTGTGATAACTTCGCTGTGTGATCAATACCCCCGTGACATTCCGGCTTGACACTCATGCTTGCCGTAAGAGGTGACTGACAGTATCGTGTGGTCAGGCTCGCTCACAGATCGATGCTCAGAATGTCAGTCACGTGATTGTTCGGTCCAGCCTCGATTAATTTCAGACAGCCGTCAGATATACTACTCGATTATGTTTTACCATGATAAATGTATCTTTAAGTTTTGTTACAAAACACAACGCTGAAAACTGTCTCCGACGTTTCTTTCGTTTCATCAAGTTACACTGATTATGACGTCACGTAACAGCCATTCTATCGTCATGCGACAGTTACATTAATTGTAACGTCATCAATAGTTGGATGCGCTTTTTGTGTTATATTTATGCTCTCTCTCTAATGCAGGATTGAATTTATTAATAAAATATTTGTTCTTTTAGACTTCTTTTCAGTTTGTCCGTTGTAGACATATTATAAAAAGAATAAACATGTAAAGTTGATTTGCTTTTCCCGCACACATGGTGCACATACAGGTAATAAACATTGGCCTGGGTATTTTATTTACTGCATGTGCATTCGGATTCGAGCGCGCAAATATTTATTTTGTCCAATTTTTTGTTCTTCGGACCCCATGCAGGTAAGTACATTTGTGACATTTCTGGTAGAACAAAAGAGATCACATCGAACATAGGAAATACCGTTGTTTTTAAATGCTACTGAGCTACTCTCCATCTTATGTTGACAGGCCCCACAGTCGCCGCTCGTGCACTTGTAAGCCCAGTCCACTCTTTTGGAGCACTTGAATATAAAACGTGCTTTGGTTAAAATGTTTTTTGGCGTTTGCTGTTTATAATGTTAACAGAGTTCAAAAATATTTCCATTCCTTTGTTCCGTTTGAAAATACTGATATTTGCCTGGATTTTGTGGAACATATTTGGATTCATGGGTAACAGGTAGATACAAAGAAAATCGATTTATTGTCTTTATCGTTCTTCTGTTTGATAGCTCATAGTTCCTTTCTGTCGAGATGTAGTTCTTTTGATATTCCATCTTCAATGAGTGCTATCGGATATCCCCTCATCAATATGTAGACTTTGTCTCCAGAAGCCTTTTGATAACATGTTTCTTCACTGGACATAATGGAACACATTCTTCGTGAAACATTGTAAGGTAAAATTCTGTTGCCATGACTGGGATGACAGGAGGAAAACGCGAGGTACAGCGGTGGCACATGAAACTATGATTTTCGGAGATCCTCTGCAGAATCGTCGTGCGGTGACAACAGTTCCTTGGAATGAACATTTAATCATGTCCAACTATTTGAGAAAATAGATACTTAATGTGTTGCGATGAAGTTATATACAACTTCATGTAGTCATGTGTCCTTGAATATCAAGATAGGAGCCAAAATCCTATCTGATAATGGTCGTTAAAGTCATTTAAAGATACTTATTGCATGTAAGGCATATAAAAGATATACAAATAAGTAGGTTTACATATTTGGATATATACTCATGTTTAACAATTTGGTTCTGAGGGAAAGTGCATTTTTAACATATATAGCCAGTTTGAATATGACGGCATCATCTTTTGAAAAAAGAAGAGAAATAAAAGCAGGTACATGATAGCGTTCTGGTTTAAACTCGTTTCTTAGATCACAATAAGGACATACAAAAGTAAAATGAATTTCACTTTCTATAGCTGAATGACATAATGGGCATAACCTCTTCGACTTTTCAGTGGCCATTTTTCTTCCTTCATTTATCATGAGATCTAACAATCCGAGCCTAAATTAAATAAATGGACGTCGAAGGGTTCTTGGTGTTAATGTAGATTAGGTATTTTTCTGGTTGAATGAGACTCTTAAAGGTTCTATACAAGTCAGACCTTGAACTGTTTTCTATAGTGGAATGCCATTCCTGGTAATCACATTATAGATTGTTCACGAAATTGTTTCATAAAGAGTTTAAGATCACCAACTGTTTTGTTTAACCATACAAAGCCGTAGCCATGGGAAAACAAAAGGTTTCTGATATGTGATGCCCATGTTACTCTGCCCATGTCATCTAATGTACAAGCATATTATAAGCAAGTTTTGGGATTCGGCGTTCATGCATTTCAAGAATATTAAACCAGTATTTCAAGCATCTAATTTGGGAGTTGATGTATAACGAGTATCTGCCACACTCACCATAGACCATACAATTGAGTGTTGATCATGATGGACCAACGGATAAGAAAGTTTTACAGGCAAAAAGATGTAGCTTTTCGAGACAATCGTATCGCTGAAATCCCCATACTGATCCAAGTAACAGCTTGGTTGGATTTGGTCATTAAATAGTTTTTTAAATGTATTCGGTGTAAAAGCTCGTACTTTCTGCGAGACAGGCATTACATTGATTAAGGCCTTCTTTGCACGTGATGTTAAGTCCGAGATACTTTTCTTGAAGTTCATTGTATGGGTAAACATTACACCAAGATATGTATAATGGCTCAGAACATTAACACATTTACCATCGACAAAATGACCCCCTCTTCTGAAAATGACAATACATGTATTTGTTTTATCATAGTTAACTGATAATTTCCACTCTTTGGTGTAACATTCTAAAATGTTCAGTTGTTTGTGTAGTCCAACAGAGAGATCTGATACTAAAATGACATCATCGGCAAAAATAAGCATCAAAATTTCTATTATATTTGAGAACATTTGAATACTATGTTAACCCTTAGCCATCATTTCATAATATAATTCACTAAAAAGAAATGAGAACAATATCGGGCTCAAGATACATCCTTGTCGAAGGCCAAAAGGACAGTAAAAAAAATCGGTTACATCGTCACCACATCGTCCACATGATTTGATATTTGAATACATAGCTTTTAATATAGAGTACATTTTCCCCTGAAGATCAGTAGTTCTTAAACAGTACCATAGTTTATAACGATCAGTGGAGTCAAAAGCTTTTTTTTTAATCGACAAAGGCTTCATGCACTTTGTGTCTACGACGTGATAGACATTTTTGTATTATTGCATATAATGTGAACATATGATCTGACGTTGAGTATTTTTTTCTAAAACCAGCTTGAGTTTCGGGAATCTTATCTCACATGTTAGCCCAACTCGTAATCCTGGAATTAAGTACTGATGTAAAAATCTTTCCAAGAATACTCATTAAGGATAATCCCCTATAATTGTCTGGGTTGTTAATATCCCCTATAATTGTCTGGGTTGTTATAAACTCCTTTTTTGTGTATTGGAATATTTACAGAACAAGACCAACTACTGGGGAATATACCACTGTCAAACATCCTATTGAAACAGTTTTGAAGAAAACTTTCATAAAATGTATAAGCCACTCAGCCTTTGAGATAACATTTTTTTTAATTTGTCTGCTTTTTTAATGAACGTATTTGTTTCCAAAATTTAGAGGGAGAATGCATAGTATCACTCAGTTATTTTAGCTTAAATTTATACAAGTCAGATTTATATAATTTCATATAGCAGGATTTGTGGTGATTTCTCTGTTTGCAGTAGATTTAGAGATTTCTATTAGAGTCAGTACGTCTACGTCTAAATGTTCTCAATGCTTTTCGAGCATCCCGTCCAGCAATCTTACATTCGTCACTTAATGGTGCCTTGGTATGTTGATAATGCATAATTCTAGTTCTTTTCCTCATACAATCTGCAGAATCTAGGATAACATGGACGAAATCATCTAAAGCCCCATCAATGTTAGAATCCAGTTTACTCAGAAGTTGTTGATTACAAGACACCATCCTTTCCTGCAGGCTGTTCAAAAACGTTTCACAAAGAGATTCATTCCAAACAATCTTTTCGTCAAAGCAACCAGATGTTGGCTTATGATTTTTGTTGTTCATGTTTGGGAATTTACATGTTAATTCTAATGGAATAATGATCGGACTCTATACGATCACTAATGTTGAACATGTCAATGTATTGAAAAAGATCCGGAGAACAGATAAAGTAATCGTTCACTCTACAACCCTGGTGACCACAATATGTATTTTCCCTTCAGCCTCTCCATATACCCTGCCGTTAACAATAAATAGCTGGAATGAATAACACATGTCGAGCAACATCTGCCCAAACCTGTTTACCACACTGTCATGGGATTTACGATCACTCATGTATGTTAAGATATCGGGCACGCTTTAATCATTATGTGTCTAAACATTTGGACGAATGTCCGTATGTAACCTCCCGTGCAAAAGAATGTTAACTGACTTGAAAATTGGATTTGGCCAAAAAATTGCAAACGTTATCAATACTTTCGCCGAAACAATGGTCCAAAACACTATAATACCGTATAAAATACATCACCTTCGAAATCTTTGTTTCAGTTTTAACCACCATCAAACATGGGTGTATACCTTCTTTTGCAAGGCAGTTACTACAATGTACAGTGTAACCTGTATGCTTATTTTCCACAAAATGCGTTCATATGCGTTTCCCTTCTTTTCAGTTTCGTGAACTATTTGTTGGCAAACTAAAAACGATTAAGGTGAAAATCGTGAAGAAAGGAATCGTCCCATCTTGGGCTTGGCAGCTCGACGCGGTAGGCCAAACATTGTGCGTGCTCATTGTAACATGATCAAGCTTAGTTGAAAACCATCATGGATATAGTGAGCCGAAGGTCCGGGGTTCGATCCCAGGCAGATTCATACTACAAGACGTTAAAAGACTAAACGTGTTGTTACCCTGTCTGGCGCTCGGCATTAAAGGGGTTAAACAAGGACTTGTCGGCTCGGTGTCTGAGTGGGGTATTCATGTTCAACTGCGGCATATTATCTCAGTGAGCTAGACTATAAAATCGGCATTAGTCCGGACTGGTACAAGCAGACACACACACACACACACACATATGTACGTTGCTACATAAGTACAGAAGACCTATTCTACCCGGAATCTTCAAGGGTTGTACATATGTACGTTGCTACATAAGTACAGAAGACCTATTCTACCCCGGAATCTTCACGGGTTGTACATATGTACGTTGCTACATAAGTACAGAAGACCTATTCTACCCCGGAATCTTCACGGGTTGTACATATGTACGTTGCTGCAACCCGTGAAGATTCCGGGGTAGAATAGGTCTTCAGGAACCCATACTTGCCGTAAAAGGCGACTATGCTTGTCGTAAAAGGCGACTAACGGGATCGGGTGGTCAGGTTCGCTGACTTGGTTGATGCATGTCATCAATCCGAATTGCGTGGATCGATGCTCATGATATTAATCACTGGATTGTCTGGTCCAGACTCGATTATTTACAGACCGCCGTCATATAGCTTGAATATTGCTGAGTACGGCGAAAAACAACAAACCAAACCAAAACATAAGTACAATAATCTCCGACGTGACGTTAAACCCCATTTCACCTCACACACTCACTAAACTACATTAATCGTGCTTGTAATAATGTGGGTCTCTCTTGAGAACTATCTGTATAGTTACTCGACCATAAAAGGCGGATAATGTTTTTTATCAGGTGCTTTTGTTTCAGATGACAGTTACTGTTATGGATGGTGTGCACACGTACAAGTACGTCGCCAGTGTAAACATTTGGCTCGGTGAATTTTCTGGGAAAACTTCCATGGAAACAGTTGACTTGGCATTTAAACAGCTGTAAAAATTACATCGGATTTATTTTCACGCGGACCTCGGGACTGAATAGGACTTAGTACCCCATGAATATATTGAGAGCCGTCCTATTATGAGAATTGGGTGTTTACAGTGTGTCACCTGGCTACAGTGTTGTAATCTATAAACTTCTATATATGTGTTGGCTTCTTGTTTTGTTGTATGTCATTCATGCATATACACACCGCATGCACAAACACACACCACACATGCACACCACACACACACACACACACACACACCACACATGCACACACACACACACACACACACACACACACACACACCACACATGCACACACCACACACACACACACACACATGCACACACATGCACACACACCACATGCACACACACACACATACATATACACACACATACACACACACATACATATACACACACACATATACACATGCACACACACATGCACACCACACACACACACACACACCACACATGCACACACCACACATGCACACCACACACACACACACACACACACCACACATGCACACACACCACATGCACACACACACATACATACACACACACATACACACACACATACATATACACACACACATGCACACACACACATGCACACCACACACACACACCACACACATACATATACACACACATACACACACACATACATATACACACACACATATACACATGCACACACACATGCACACCACACACACCACACATGCACACCACACACATACATATACACACACACATATATACACACACACCACACATGCACACCACATACATATACACACATGCTAAGCCATATGATGCGACACACCTCAAACCTCCACACACCAATACAAATAAAGTAACCCAGGTAATAATTATGAGTGAGTTTTTACCACTATTCCGGATGTTCCACGGCGAGGAACACCAGAAATGGACTTCACACGTTGTACCAAAGTGGTCGTCGGGAAACGAACCAGGGCCTACAGCGTGACGAGCGGACGCTTTACCCACTAGGCTACCCCGCCGTCCCCAAGATTATGAAGCAGAAGTAACAAGACTAATGGATTTCTTTAAGTTAGGGGTAAGTCACCATGAAAAGTTTTTTTTAAGTCGTCCACTTGAAAGTTTGGAATGACAGCCTTTCCTACTGGTACTATACCTGCCAACATCCATGCCAGTATACATACACGATCCAGCGTCTTTACGAAACCAGCAAACAACGGACAGTCAGGTCCAGACCATCAGATGGGGTTAGGTCTCTATTAAATGCTGGATGTGTTGGTAGCGAAAATCTGGAGTAATACCAATCATGGTTCTTTCCTTACAGTCCCTGCAGTGATCCCTTGTTAAAAGTATTCCTCCGTAGCTTTTATATATATATATATATATATATATATATATATATATATATATATACAAAAATGAGGTAAATGTTCACTCGGTGTACATGTAATATATAATAAAATAATAAAGACCACGTTAGTGCATCATCTTTTTTATATCAGTTTCATACATAGTACTTTCGCTGTCTCATGACAGCTCTTCAGTGTAACTGTGTATATATACAGCCGTGCGTGTGTCATGCGTCTGTCTTTCCATCCCCGTGGGGATTCAATAGATCCACGCATTTAGGATGCGATGACATACATCAGCCAAGTCAGCAAAAACCCTTTCCCGAAAGTCGCACCTTACGACAAGCATAGTCGTCTTTTATGACAAGCTTGGGATGCTGAAGATCGGTTCTAACCTGGGTCTTCACGGGAGGGGGAGGGAGGAGACAAATATGGGTTGCTGAAGATAAGTTCTAACCCGGATCTGCACTGGTGATAACCACATGTAGCAAGGCTGATTGTGTATTAACTCTACCCAATAGCGTGGATCTTTGTTCCTGCTTGATGTCATCAGTCGCCTGTCCCACACTCGTTTATAATAAAAGCCGTCGTCATATCGCTGGTGTTGCCTCCAATGAAAAACAATTTATATCAACTCACTTCACTCTGTCCTCAAACTTTCCAGTTCTCCATCTGAAGAGATAAATAATTATTAATAAAGTTCATATTTATATAGAGCCTTTTTCTAACATTTGCACTAAAAGGTTCTTACAAAGAGAACTGTTTTGAGATGTTTCTTGAGGGTGAAAAAGGAAGTCCAATTCACAGAAGTGGCCAAGCTTTGGCCAAACATCTATGGCTGAGTGGATTAATGCTACAGTGACATTCAAAAAAAAGTAAACTACGGTTATAACGAACTCAAAGGGACTTCTATTTTTAGTTCGTTATAACCGTAGTTCGTTATAAGCATATATACAGCATAACTACAGCAAATAGTCGGGACTAAAAAGTATGTTCGTTATAACCGTAGTTTACTGTATTCAAGTTATTAAAAGCGTTACAACATGCTGTTGGGAAGCAAAAAACGACCCAAATTGACTTTTTCAAAATTTATTTGTCATCATTCTACCAACCCAATTCGCATAAATAATAGATACAAAACGAGAAGGGCTGGTCGTTTAGATATTATTTCAAGGCATAAGTAGATGAAGTACTCTGTTGACATTATTTTTACAGGCAGAAGTCTGAGCTGCAGATGTCAATTTTTTATATGTATTAATATTTCTATAGTTGGTATGGTACTATTCATTTGTTAATCGTGAATCGTGATTTGTTTTCCAGTTTTTTTAGTGTTGTAGATGATGGCCGTACCCCATTCTATAGGGCGGAGAGTCAAGCACTTCCCCCGCTGTCGTCTGGTCCACGCCAAATCATTAAAGTGGCTTCTGGCTCGACGCTTGCTGTCGAGGATGTTACACAGACCGCAAACCACAGAGGCTTATCCATATCTCACGACCCCCGCATACAAGCTGTGACTCTATCGCCATTCAACATCTGTACATCTTTAGACAGCGACCAGTCAACACTCAAGCAGTGTCAAGAAAAGTCTACCTCACGCTTTGTCACCCCAGCCGGGGCCCAGACTGTGTGAACAGGCCGTGTGTTCAGACATAAACTTTTCGGTTAAGGCCTCAAATACGTTGGAAAGCGTTCCGCCAATTGACTTTTCGAAATAGGAAAAGTGCAGTGACATTTGACATTTACATTTGTATGAATCACTATTAATTAATTATACATTGTACTTATTAAGATTTCATGATATTAATGCCTCTTGGTTATACGAAGTAACAAAGGATCGTTACTCTTATTCTTTAGCATGTAAATACATTTTGACTGTTAACGTATTCGCTGGATATTTATAAAAAAAAAAAAAATTGGTTACAATTTAATATATGGAATGATCGATCCCGTTTTACTTCTATTGTGTTTATCGTGATTGTATTTTAACATATCAGACCTGACCTAGTGCTACCTCCATCCGAGCTGTGGACAGCTCTTGTCCACAAGGCGGAGGATGTTATAAGTTAAAATGCGTCTCAAAAACATTGGAAAATGGTAACAAAACTGTAACAAATTAAGCCGTTGAAAGCTGCAATGATGAGCTGCATTAGATATACAAAGTCCGTGACAGAGAACTTTTAGTTCGAAAGGAACTAATAGAGAAAGGACAATCCACATTTATCACAAGAGAATTCTGGACATTGCATATTTATCATTGGATTGGTTCCATGTTATCGTCGATTAGTTAATATCACCAGAGAGGTAAGATACTCTTCATTTGTAGAATCCGGAGTGAGTCACAAAATCAATAGAGAGATGATCAATCTGGCACGTAGGCTTCGGTATTTTTCGGATTACGACACACATGAGTTCATGGTCAGATCTAACTTTTAACGAATCAAACTGAGGTATTGTGACATGTGACAAAGACAGGCCAGGCTCGAACACTATAAAATGATACCGTTAACACTAGGAGAGGAGAGCGCGGTTTGCAGTCGATCGAGTCGAATCCCGATCGATCTAAGTTCTCCCCACTTAGTGACGAGCCTTGCCGGTCTGATCCTGACGTGTATTGATAGATGGACTGAGAGTAAGTTAACTAATGTGAGTGTAAAGCTGGTGTTGCGTTTCTTTATTATGCGAGTATAAATGCTGATGGAGACCATTCGGGGTAAGCGTCGTTCGACCAATCACTCGTGACATGGCGAGTTGCAAAGTCATGGCTTAACTGATCATGGTGACCAGGAACGACAATACTTTCAATAACTGTGGTAGAGTCCCACTTGACACCCGAAAGCAGTTACGACAGTACAGTACTCAGTTGACATTATAAACAGCAAACTTCAAAGTTCGAATCTCAAGAACATCTTAACCAAAGCACGTTTTGATTCAAGTGCTCAAAAAGAGTGATTTTGATTAGCTATTTTACGCCGCACTCCAGCAATATTCCAGCTACATGATGGCGGTCTGTAAATATTCGAGTCTGGACCAGACAATCCAGTGATTGATATCATGAGCATCAGTCCACGCAATTGGGATACAATGACATGCATCAACCAAGTCAGCGAGCCTGACCACCCGATCCCGTTATTCGCCTCTTACGACAAGCATAGTCGCCTTTTGCGGCAAGCATGGGTTGCTGAAGACCTATTCTACCCCGGACCTTCACGGGTCCAAAAAGAGTCAACTTGAGTTACAAAGTGAAACGGAGGCCACTGGGGGACCTTTCATCATATGCTGGAGGGTAGGTCGGTGACATTTAGAAACAACGGTATTTTCTATGTTCGATGTGATCTCAACTGTTCTGCTAGAAATGTCCCACATATACTTCCCTGCATGGACAAACTGAATATTTGCAGGCTCGAATCAGAATGTACCAGCAGCAAATAAAATGTCAGGCCAATGTTTACTACTTGTAAGTGAGTGAGTGAGTTTGTTTTTACGCCGCTTTTAGCAATATTCCAGCAATATCACGGCGGGGGACACCAGAAATGGGCTTAAAACATTGTACCCATGTCGGGAATCGAACCCGAATCTTCGGCGTGACGAGCGAACGCTTTAACCACTAGGCTCCCCGACCGCCCCTCACTACCTGTAAGTGCACATGTGCGCGGGAAAAGGAAATCAGATTTTCATTTTTATCCTTTTTATAAAAGATGTTTACAACGGCAAACTGTAAAGAAATCTAAAAGAAGAATTCTTATTATTAATTTAATCCTGCATTAAAGAGAACATTAATATTACAACAAAGCGCAGTTGTGT